TGTACATCGGGGAAGCCGCCCCTTGTCGCCGAGATCACTTGTATGCAGCCTGCAGGTCTGCCATTCTCCATGGGGTGGGGGGGTTGGTGGGTAGGGGGGCGCATTGAGGAACCTGGCCTTGGGGCATCAGAGAGACTAAATCCGGTCCTGGCTGTATGCATATACTGTATATGTCAGCTCAGCAGTCAAGCCCACCGCTATGCTGCTGCCACATATACACCTATGTTATGATATAAAATCCGTCCCACAGCTCCGAGTTCCCATTATTTATAAATAGACAAACAGTCTTCTTACACGTTTCGGACCTGAACAGTTTTAATCACAGCTCATCAATGACCTAAGCCTATGATAACCGATTGGTTGCAGCGTAACAAAGACAGCTCCCAAACGACCAGCAAACAGCCAGAAACCACAAGAAGAGTCCACAAACTGCTTTATTTCTGATTGCAGTGCTGTAATGTACAAGGTGGATTGTCCCCCGGCCTCTGACATAACACCATCTTCATTTTTAATAACACAGATAATCTCATGTTCTGCTTGAGAGAAGGAAGCCGAATCTTGTTCTCAAGAAGCAAACCTCACAGAGGTTACGGCTCGGCAGTCTTGAACTGTGGTGGCCAATTTGACAGTCGGAAGCCATTTTTCCAGGACTCAGATGTTGGCGTGCTGATGGGCGGCTTGTTTACCGCAAGGCAGGCTTCTGTCATGCTGAAGAAAGAGAGAACATGTCATGGGATAGATTTCATATTTCTGCTACAGCTGAACATACAGCAGGAGAATATTGTTAGAAGATTTGATCAATCTACCTAGCGTGCGGCATCGAGGCGCAGTGCACTGTGCTGCTGTTCATTTAAATGGCACCCAACACACCTTCCGGCAGCCGCGCATTACAGCGCAACCAAACGAGCAATACTGCAATGCCGAATGTTGTGTTGCGGTGACATAAAGTAGCTGCAACACACGGCGTCCAGGATGTGCTCTGGGGTCCCATTCAAATGAAAGGCAGTGCACAGTACCTAGTGCATGGTACCAGACGCTAGGCTTGCTCGCACTGAACCCCATAGTAGCGGCACTAAGTGCTTAAAGGAGAACTATGAGGAGAGTGATTTTCACTCATCCTCATAATCTGAGCCGACCTGCGACAATGAAACTGTCACAGGTCAGCTCTGTAGATCGGGAAGTGAGCGAACACATACCGTCGCTCGCTCACTTCCCGATCATCTCCCTGCAGAGAGTGGTGACTGTCACTCACAGCTCCCTGCAGGGATCCCCCCCCCTCCCCTGTCTGATCCTCCAGCGCTAACTGGCGGAACGGACGGGGGAGGGGGCGGGTACAGCTGGCTCTGCCTCTAGATAGGCAGAGCCAGCTGTCAATCCCGCGGCTGGGTGGATCTCGACAGCAATTTCGGGATCCGTCCCGGCTGCGTCGTCTCAGTATACCGCGAGCCGTAGCTCGCGGTATACTGAGCTTTGAAAAGTCCATGGTCCCATCGCACTCCTGACCGCAAAATGCCTTTAAGAAGCGGGTTGCTGCGATAGTCAACGGGTGGCAGCCATAACAATCATAAGCAAAAGCAGAGACACCGGCACTCCAAAATGATAAGCAAACGTCTATTTATTGACTTGCAGCATAGCAAGTATAGTAACGAACGTTTTGGGGGCGCAAAGGATCCCCTTCTTCAGGCAAAGCAAAATGTATGCTTTTCCTGAAGAAGGGGATCCTTTGCGACCCCGAAACGTTCGTTACTATACTTGCTATGCTGCAAGTCAATAAATAGACGTTTGCTTATCATTTTGGAGTGCCGGTGTCTCTGCTTTTGATACTGAGCTTTGGGTGACAGGAGGACGCTAGTTTGTGTCCTCCCGTGACCCTTACAAGAACTATGGGGAAAAGCCCTAACCCCCATAGTTCTCCTTTAAGATCTCCTGCTGCCCAATGTGGCTCCTGTCATCAGCTTACAAAAATTCAGGTAAAATCTGGAGCAGATTTGCACTGCAGCCAATCAGCATCTCCCTCTCATTTTCAAATCTTACCTGAGCAAACTGAAGAGAGAAGCTGATTGGTTGCCATGCACAGCTGCTCCAGATTTTGATAAATTCCCCTCATTGCGTCTTTGAACGTGCTAAAAAATTAGACTGCTCTGGGAAGAGTCAATTCCCTAGCACAGCCCCCTCCCTCCTCACATGTCATAGCCCTCTCCTCTTCTGGGAGTGTCTAATTGCTGTCTGTGCTGGCCCAGCTCCCAGTTCAAAGGGAAAAGTACTATAAATGCACATATATGGGAAGATTTTTGTTGAAATGAATGGTTGGTGACAGGGTCTCTTTGAAAGAAATCTTGCTCTGAAATCCGCTGAGACACCAATACTAGAAATGTCGATTACCTGTGTCTTTCACTGCGCTCGGTGGGTCCTCCGGATGACCTCTGCATCATTTCTGTTTCCTCTGATGTGATGCAGAGGTCGGCGGGAGGACGCACTGAACACACGGAGGACACGGACAACCAGTGCTTCCAGAAAAGTCACTCTTAGTGGACGTCAGAGGAAGATCTCCCTTCAATGGAGCAGCATTCTGCAGTGCGGACAGTGGTGGAGGGGAGTTTTATTATTAGTATTTATATAGTGCAGTCAATGTATGCAGTGCTTTACACAGTTGTACATTCACATCAGTCCCTGCCCTCAAGGAGCTTACAATCTAAGGTCCCTATCTCACATACATACAGGGCCAATTTAGACAGGAGCCAATTAACCTTCCAGCATGTGGTTGAGGTGTGGGAGGAAACCCGAGTACCTGGAGGAGGTCAACACAAGCAAAGGGAGAACATGCAAACTGCAAGCAGACAGCGTCCTGACCGGGATAGGAACCGAGGACCAGTGCTGCATGGCAGAAGTGCTAACCACTAAGCCACTGTTCTTTAGCAGGGACACATGTCTGGACAGGTTTCTTTTACTGACAGGTCCCATTTAAAGTGCCATTATGGTAAAAAAAAGGAGGGCCTGCTTGAATCCTGTAAAAACAGGAATACATAAGACTGTTAAAGGTCCCTGAACGACCAGTGCTGGGAGAAGGTCCTTTATCACCTAAGGGCAAAATGTGCTCCCCTCCTTTATTATACAGGATTTATATAGCGCCAATAGTTTGTGCAGCGCTTTACAATATAAGGAAGACATTACAATTACAATACAATTCAAGACAAGATGGTAAGGAGGGCCCTGCCCATGAGGGCTTACAATCTAAAAGGGTGGGGCAAGTGATACATTAGGTGGCAGCTGTGTGGGGATGAATTGTTTGAGAACGTGATGGTTGAGTGGTTAGGTTGAGGTGGGATAGGCTTCCCTGAAGAGGTGAGTCTTAAGGGATCGCCTAAAGTCCCAACCTGTCCGTCTATCTGCCGTTGTGGGAGATAGACGGACAGGTTGGGGTAAAGAGTTCCAGAGGATGGGAGAGACTCTAGAGAAGTCCTGGAGGCGAGCATGGGAGGCTTGACAAGGGAGCTGGAAAGATTGGAAGAGCAGAGGGGACGGTTAGGGTGATACTTTGAGACAAGGTTTGAGATATAGCCGGGGGCAGAGTTGTGGATGGATTTGTAAGTGGTTGTTAATATTTTGAATTTTATCCTATGGGCAATTGGAAGCCAGTGCAGGGATTGGCAGAGGGGGGTTGCAGACACTGAGTGGTTGGTTAGGTGGATGAGTCTAGCAGCTGCATTCATGATAGACTGAAGGGGGAGGAGCCTGTGGAGAGGTCAGCCAATGAGGAGGGAGTTGCAATAGACAAGACGAGAGATAATTTTGGTGATGTTACGAAGCAGTAAACTATGACAGCAGCACAGGTTGCAGGTCCTGCCCATTTTGCACCCCCTTCTGCTGAAATGCCCAAGGTAGCTTCCTACCCCTTGGCCTGGCCCTGCTGAGGATCCCACTATGGATGAATATCAAAGGAGCCAGGAATCCAGCCAAGCCAATTAGCAATTACCTTATGGTGAGAGATCACTGTGTGTACAGGCTGGCAGCAAACACTATATCCCTCTTGATAAGCTGTGAGGCGGAATCCATCTTGGCACACAGAGTAGCGTCCCCAACCAATCGAGCGGCAGAGCGAACATCCCGACACGCTTCGTCCAGTCGCTGCACGCAGCGCACAATGAGGCCTTCCTGGATGTCAGTCAAGGTCATGATTTCTGCAAATGGCTGGAGGTAAAGAATTGAACATTAATACAAGTCACACTTTGCTTCGTTGTATTCCAAATATCACAGAGCTGCAGTATAGCGACAGCCTGTTATGGCTTCCAAACACCTAGAACCATCTTTGGTGCCTCAGCTCTGTCATCAGATCATACCCATCATTACTTTACACCCAATAAACCGTTCTTACCATTCCACGTGCCCATTCGTACACAACCTCCGTCAGGCCAAACTTGTACTGTGCCACAAAGTCCTCCACTGACTCCCTAAGGCCACATTGCCGTTGAATCAGCGCAATTCGTTCGGCCAGCTCCTTCACCTTCTTCACCCCCTGCAAGAAAACCCAACATCATATACTGCAGCACCATTACAATGTATCTATATCATCTATATCCAAAACATTTCCTTTATCAAGTTTAGGAGAGAGTGGTGAGGGGGTTAGAACCAATGGCATCACAAGGGGGGGTGCGGCCCGCACCCAGGTGACACCAATGGAGGGGTGACACCAAAATGACTGTCATTTTGGTGTCACCCCCTCGGAAAATTGTCGGGCACTTGGTCATGGACCAAGAGCCCGACAGTGTCAGGAAAGAAGAGGGGACACGGCGGTAAACCTCAACCCGCCGGGTGAACGTCTCCTCCTCTCTCTGCCGACGTCCATCACCAAGATGGCCGCCAGCACTTGTCAATACGTTGGCAGCGCATGTATGATGACGTCATCGCGCATGCGAGTGGCGACGTCACAGCGGGGTGTCACCCAGTCTCCACTCCGGGTGACACCCAGCCTTGGGACGCCCCTGGTTAGAACCTCAGTCAGGTTTTTGTTGCCGTCTGTGCTTCCACTGGTGACATTTCCCTTCTTTATGTGTCTTGGTTCCACAGGCCTCTTCCACATGGGCGGCAGGCTCTACCGCTCCTTTGAAAAGCGTTTTGTGGTGGACCACTTTCCAAAGGGTGGCTGGGCAGCAATTTCCATGCATCAAGGAGGTGACACTGCAACCTCCTGAATGCAAAAATGGATTTTACATTGAAAAATCACACCACAACTGCATGCCAAAGGCTTTGTGGGGGGGTTTGCATTGGGGTCCAATGGACTTCAATTGGCGAGCATGACAGATGGTGCCGACTGTTGCAATTGACATGCCGTGTTAAAATTGCAGCAGTACAAAGCCATGCAGTGTGGCCACGGCAATGTGCATGGTCCTGTGCAGCCACATTGCGATTGTGTAGATGGGCAGACAAGCGTTAGTAAAAACGCAACTCTACTGCTGTTTTTACCCCATGCTGGCCGCCGTGTGCACTTAGCCATAGTGATGAGAAATCCATAAACTCATGGCAGCTCCTGACTAACAGGGTGCCCCCTAATTGGTTCCCCAAGACAAACAGTCAGTGCTTGCACCTGTTTAGTGTTCTCTCAGCACTCAACCTTTTCACCCAGCAGCAGGCTCCTACAGCTGACAGAGAGAGAGAGACCTCAGCATGAGTCAGCTCACATATATAAAAGTCTGTGCACAGCTGAAACTAATAATGAGGTCTGGCTAAAGGTGCCCATACACCTTGCGATTATCGTACGATAATCACGGGAAATTGCCGCGATCGTACGATAATCGCAAGGTGTATGGAAGGCGTGCGACCTCTGCTGCTGTACGGTCGCACGACTTTTGTCTTAAGAGCATGTTCGAAAACCCGCCGAGAATCGTACGATTGTCGGCGGGTGTGTAGCATGTTCGTTAGACGAATGCCGAACGGGCCGGTGTACGCAAGTCCACACTGCCCGTTCAGCATTGCAGTCATCGGAAGCCCGCCCCTCAGGGGGGCGGGCTTGCGATGATCTCAAGTACGATCTGCCTGTCCAAGATGGTCAGATCGTACTTTTTTTAAATTACCCTACAACCATCGCAAGACAATTGTCTTGCGATGGTTGTAAGGTCTATGGCCAGCTTAACATGTAAGATGTGGATCTAGGAAGGGAAGCTTCATCACACCCCAAAGCCTCCAGGCAACAGGACTTATGGAGTATTTTTTCGAGGTGGTCCAGAAACAAAGGTGGGTGGGACACATCCAAAACTCACAGGGAGATAGGAACAGTGTTGGGGATTTTGGGAAGGGGAATGTCACTGTTGGGAGTATCCAAGCAATATACAGTAAGACGCCAGGGGCTGACAACCCACTAGGCTCCCTCAATACTAAACCATCACTTTTGGGTGGGCTAACCAAGGATCAAAGATTTAAAGAGAAGATTAGATAGCTACAGATAATATAGAAATACATGCTGGCAACTGTTGCCATGCCCTATTTTCTGTAACTTTAGCCTTACCTCCTTTAGGGTGTCCGTTAGCCGCGGCTCACACTGTGTCTTGTGCTGGAAGACCAGGCATGATAGCAGTGCTGCAATCTCATCAGGATTAAGAGGAGACAGAGTCCCATCCAGAACCAGTTCAGTCACCAGCAATTCATGACTGCTGACCTCACAGGCCACCCGGCCCTTCAGCTGTACTGCACCGCCATCATCTATGTACTGCAGAGTGCGTAGGACCTGCAGGGGGAGGAGGAGGAGGAAAAGCAACTGAAACAGACGGCTATGATGGCCACATCAAACACATTACTTTAAAGTGACACTAAACTCAGGAATTAAATCTTAAAAATACATTCAAGTACCTGAACTATTACCAAAAATGTATCTTATTTGTGTATCACTTGGCTGTAGATCCTCAAATCATCTCTGAATTGGTGCCGACACTGTCCTTCCTTCTGGAGGGGGGCTACTTGTGTTCGTCATGGTCCCTGTGTGTGTTGTAAAGTAGTCACCGCTCAAAGCTCACTCCTGTGATGGACTACAATCTCATGCTTGGTTTACTAATTTGTATTGAGATTGTAGTCCATCAAGGGAGCGAGCTTGTAGCGGTGACTACTTTACAACACACACAGGGACCATGGGGAACACATAAAGCCCCCCTCCAGAAGGAAGGACAGCGTCAGCACCAATTCAGAGATGATTGGAGGATCTACAGCCGAGTGATACACAAATAAGATACATTTTTCTTAATAGTTAAGGTACTTGAGGCCTCGTTCACACCAGAGACAGTGCGTTCCGGGCAGATTCTTGCAAGCGCTATTTTGTTCGAGCATCGTGTGCCTTGCATTCCCGTGCGGCCGATCGCATTGCGGCCGGAGGGCGTGGCTACAGTGCCATTCACTTCAATGGAACACCACGCCCCCTCCTGCTCCACAACATAGTGAGCAGGCCGCAGTGCGTTCCAGCAAAATCGGGCCGGAACGCACTGTGTCTGGTGTGAACGAGGTCTGAATGCATTTTTTGGATTTAACTCCTGAGTTTAGTGTCACTTTAACTTTCTACACTATAATATGTACCTAAATTTGACTAGACTTCAATTATCTGCACAATTTCATGCACACAAGCAACCACTGTAACATTCTAGGTATGGAAACGACTGTCAACAACCGATATAGGGTTGCCACCTTTTCTTCAAGTGAAACCCGAACACCCTAGCGACGCACAGACATTTTTTGGAGAGAATAAGTCGTGGCTTATTCATATGTAAATAGCCCCACCCATTCATATGTAAATATCACAGTTAAGACTATTTTCAATGGGGGGCCAGTAGCACCTATCTTAATTTTGGTTGCCCCTGTCTGCCTGACATCTTGTGTCCGGGTTTCTGCTGCCATGAAACCCGGACACAGCATTCAAAACCCGGACTGTCCGGGCGAATTCTGGACAGGTGGCGACCCTAAACCGATAAGAAAAGGAGACATCAGTTCAAAACGATTTCCTATTGATTGGAATAAAACACAGCTACGGTCACAGCTGCAAAGTGGAGTTATATTACACTGATTGCCAGTGAGCAGAATCTACAATATCAGTTATAAAAAGAGGTGAGTCAATCAGCACTTTGACAGGCAAGTTTTCAAAGCAATGAGGAACCACTAAAAGAGTTCCAAACTAAAAGAGTTGCAAGTTGAATCTCAGCAGAGAAGAGGGATGGAAGCTTAGGACAAAAGTACAGCATCATATAACCATTTCTTTGACCCGTTTGCAACAAAAACTGTACAACTCGAGCTTGAAAGGGATGGTGGTAATCATTACTAAGACCTGGACATATTATTAGTGGTTTCCATTATTATGTCCACCCAGTGCATCCACCATGAATCCCCCCCATGACCCCTTTCCTTGTATCTTACATTGATTCTCTGCTGGTACTCCGGCAAGAGGCTCAGTGACTGGTCAGAAGTAAGGAAGCGCAGACGATCCAACTCATCCAGAACTTGTGATCTGTGTTCCAGACGTAGATACTACAATTGAAAAAAGATAGTCACAATACCAGCACGGTCAGTGTGACATGGATTACAACGTTTATAGTGCTTATATTTCAAGTATAATGACACAAGGTTATCTCACCTGGGAGGTAAATCGAGGGCTGTTAGGAGAGCTGAATCCCCGTACTGCTCCTTCAAGTCTCCTCATCCGACTGACTGACTCCACCAGCTCCAGATCCTTCAGCTGGAGATCATTTATGGGGCACAAGGAGGTCAGTGACCCCGGAGGCAAGTCTGCAAGGCGAGATAGCTCCTGAGTCACCCCAGATACTGCGGGGCCCGGAGGGTCATTCCTGAGGAGTTAAACAAAAAATAAAGATGAGATTGAACTACATTGGTGTTTTTTTGTTTTTTTTAAGTGACTGGTGCTGAAGTTCAGGCACCTCGTGGTGCATGCAGGCACATGTGTGAGGCATCGTGCACACGCACCTCCTGCGTTTGACACAGGAGAAAATGGTCTGGAAGTGTAAACAAACCTTCACTTCCCAGATTCATTTTGTCCGCTTTTAAATGTACTTACATGTTTACATATGTTTATGTTTGTGTAAACGCATCTAAACTGAATGCGCCAAGAAACTGCTGAACCTCTAGGTGCGCATTCTGCCATAGAAAGCATTACATGCCTCCACATGCATTTAAAAATAAGCTTCAAATGCAACAGGATGCCTGTGTGCATAAGGCCTTAGTCTTTAAATCTATTGTTCTATCTTAGTGGCGCCTCCTTGGATCCTAGGCCTAGGCTGTACACAGCGCCATGTCTTCTGCCCAAACCAGGATTAATGTGCATATCCAGGCATAACCTACATTTACCCCCAAATCTCCCCCTACCCCTCTAGATCATGTCCCAAGCATTATTTTTTCACCTTTAGTTCTAGGTTAGTAAAATTCTTAGAGGGGCAGCTGCTGGGAGGTCAGTTCCTATTGCCGTAGGCATGTCCCCCAGAACTACATCTCCAAGAGCTTTTTACCTATACATAGCATGCGGGCAGGCTTTCTTTTGGAAGTCAATGCAGCAACATTATTTTGCTGGGAAAGAAAATGGTTGCATCTGTAGCCCAGCAGCCGGGGCTTAAAACGATGACTGTGCAGCAGAGGCAGTCTTGTTAGCCCAAACAAGAAATTCAAAGCTCATTGGATTTCTGGCACAGCAACTGGACCTGCAGCATTTTTAAATAGATAAAATATATGGATATGTGCATGTATTGCATCGTTGTACTAAATATGTTTTATATATTTAAGTCCAACCTCTTTAAACATCTAGCCCTCCCACCTTTAAATTAACTGATGGAAACAGGACTTTGTGTCATGCGTGGGCATTGTTTAATATAGACTAGGGCAGAGGTTGAGCTCTCATGTACAGCCTCTGTCTAGGATCCAAAGGGGCTCCACAGGTACACAGGGATCAGTGTGAAGATTAACATGGATGTTGGACTATTGTTATCTTAGAAACATTTCAGACTGTGTCAAGTTTATTTTAAACAATAATTTTCCCAGATTCCTGAAATACGCTTCTGTCAGTTACTGTAAATGAGGTTATTCAGAGGCTGGCTGGATTCCAGGGACCTTTTATGTCAAGCAACCAGCTACAATCCACAAGCTGACACCCCTAATGACTTCATGATAAGTAGGGAAAGTGAATTGAGCCACCTGCAACTCTTGTAGTCCTATCTCTGTTCTAGTGTACCGCTTCCATTATATCTTATGACTATCATCTCATGTCACACAGAAGATTGGCTTGATCCCTAAACGTGTAAATCTATCAGAGTTGTCCCCACATATGTCCTGCTGTATGGCTGCTTACATCAGATCTACGTCACATGGCTCAATCTTACAGCAAATGATCAGATTTAGATATAAAGAGTTCTGACAAGGAAAACAATAGAGCTGTTATAGACAATATAGCAAAAAGTATATGGACAGCCTGCCAAATGATCAAATCTAAGTGTTTCCTGCTAATTCTACAGCATAAACAAAATTGTGGACTTCCAATGTTTAAGCAAAAGTTTGGGGAAAGCACAGAGCCCTCACCTCAAGCCAACTGGAAACCTTTATGATGAATTGGACCCCTGACAGCCAGCTCCATAAAGACAATGGTTTGACCAGTGTGGTGAGGAGGATCTTGAGTGGCCTTCACAAAGCCCTGACCTCAGCTCAACTTGACACCTTTGTGATGAATTAAATCCATGACATTGGTAGAAAGCCAGCTCCATAAAGACAAGGTTTGACCAGTTTGGTGAGGAGGAACTTGAGTGGCCTGCACAGAGCCCTGACCTCAGCACAACTTGACACCTCTGTGATGAACTGGAACGCTACGTATGCTCATCCAGCATCAGTACCTGACCTCACAAATGCTCTTTTGGCTGAATGGGCACAATTTCACAAGACACACTATAGAATTTTGTGGAAAGCATTCCCAGAGGAGTGAAGATTGGTATAGCTACAAAAGGGGGAAGGGGGTGAGTCCATGTAAATGGCAATGGTTTTAGAATGGGGTGTTCAACAGCAGGTGTGATGGTCAGGTGTCCACAAACTCTTGGCCATAGTGTATAAAGCATGTAATATACCCAACAGAGACTTTTACCTGAATCGTGGGTTTTGGCTCCTGGCAACGTCATCCAGCACTTTATCACCATGGACTCTCAGAGTTTTCCCAGTTATCATGAGAATATCTGATGCATGGAGCTTGAGAAGCTTGTAGTTAGATGGGCCTGGAGGGGAAGGAAGTTACAGAACAGACAGCTGTTGCTAATGTAATTTATTTCATATTATGTTTTAATTATCTCTTTATTACATTTTTCATATTAAATACAATTACAAATAAATACAAATAAACAGAACAAACAAAAAAGAAAAGAAAAAAAATGATATATTAGTGTTTCTATGGCCTTATATATGGAAGTGACTAATGGAGAACCTATCTGTCTATATTAAGTAAATCATATTCCTCCATTCATATTTCTAGCAAATATTATAACACGAAAGGTAGAAGCTGATTGCTTACTATGGGGAAATAACCACTCTTCTTTCATGGACTTTAATATACAAGACCCCACCCTGGTCTCTTCTCACCTTCAGGTCTGAACACTTTGCCCATTAGGAGATCGTCAGGGAACGGTGCCTTCTTGCCATCCTTCTCTCCTCTCTCTGTTGCTGAGGGCGTTCCAACATCCCGCTTCTTCTCGCACAGCACCAAGGTGGTGTAAATCCTGTTACTGGCATCTGAGGACACCTGATGTTAAATATACAGGGCACACATGACAAACCCAAATTAAACTGGGGTTGAAATTGATTTACTAAAACACAAATCAGGCCTTTTACTTGTTCTTCTTAATATTTAAATGACCTGTAAATGTAAAAGAAAATGTAACCTTTTTATGACACTGCTACTATTATTAATAATAGTAATAATAATAAATATATTGTATAATAATAATATTTATAATATAATAATAATAAATATTTCATATTGCATATTAAAGCAGACCTTTACCCTTATCTTTAAAATAACAACAAACACACCTTTAGAAATGTTCAGTAATGGCAATCTACAATCACAAACTTCTAGATAATTGCTGGATTTGTATTCTTTGCATACCTTAGTTCTCTTTCCTTCCCCAGTCTTCCGACAGTGGCCATGTTTACAAAGGGCAGATTACTAGCTCTATTACTTCCTGGATTTCTGGCACATGTGACTAGACATGTGACCATGCACATCATCTCAGGGGGAGGAAAATGCCTTTCCCTGAGATCTCCTGAGATTACAGATGAGAGTTCCCAGCAATGCTCTGCTGATGACAAGGCAATCCCAGTGTGCATTGCTTTGCCAAACTGGAGTCATTTTGCCCATTTAAGCATCATACATAGAGGGTTGCATTGGCAGAATTAGATTTTTGACTGTAAAGGTGCGCTTTAAGGTTGTATTCCAACATTTACAACCACCAGGGGGAGCTCTTGGCCCCTTTTCATATGTCTAGCGATCTATTCCTAGCTGCGATGTTTAAAAAAAGCCTGCTTTTTAAAGAGCTCAATAACTCAAGCTCCAGCAATTTACATACACAACTGAGGAGTCAGAACAAATACCCCACCCTCCTTCTGTCTGCTCTTTTGAGATGGACCTATGGAGTATCAATCAGAGCGAGGTAATCTGAAGACAACGGGTTTTGCTGTGCTCTTTGTCCAGTTGAATATATCTTGTAATAAAGGTTTGTAAAAAAAAAAAGCTTTTATATGAATTGTCCCCCCCAGTCAACTTACCCCAAAGTGTTATAGATTCCCTTTAAGAAAAAGTAGCTGGATCTGACTGAAGCCTAATTCATTCTACAGGCTACTAAGTCTACTTTTCCATATAGAATTTTGCAGCTGCCAAACATGATGTTCTCACACCTTTGTCCGATTTGAGCCTGAAATTGCAACAATCTAAACACAATTACCGAATGTCATGTGGTCTGTTGCAAATTATCCCTGCTCATCTGACTTTCAACATATGCCTTCTCAAAAATGAGTTCACTGACCCATCACTAGCCCCCAATTGCTACCTGCAGGATGACCCCGGGTACCCATGGGTGGTATTCTGTGCTGACGATGATGATGCGGCCTACACTCAGGCATTTCATTCCATTGATGGACTCGACCACCTTTTTCTAGATAAGGAGACAAAGAGAAATCACACATAAGGCCGAGTAGGCACACATAGGTTTGTGTGTATATAAGTACAAGCTGCAAAGAACACATTCAAAATAAAGACATGCATTGAAGAACAGAACGTCTGAACTAAGATAATCAAAAAATAATAATTCTTTATTTCACTGGAACTGGTCTAATGTATGCTAAGGGGTGAACTTCTAAAAGTGTAAAATTGCTACATTATGGACTTTTCTGTTGTGTGCAACATAAAAATCACTTGGCGATTGTGTAGACAGGAAAATGTAGCAAGCTTTCAAGTGTATTCAGCTTGCATTTGGGATGATTCAGGTTCCTTTTCACCTTACAAGTTGACTTTTCAACAAGGCTTCATAATATTTAGCAGACCATTTTCCCTCCATTAAACCACATGGAATCCACAAAAAGATCACTTTGCTCCTGGGTCTCTCTCAATCAGTTTGTGCAAAAAGTTTATTTTACTGTAAAATGATTTGACCTCTCTGAATTTACTTTTCCAAAGTAAAAGATAATGACAAGTCTAGGAGTGGAGTCTTCTACAGGTGAAAGAGTGAGGTTTTTGATGGGTGGCGCCCACCCCCAATTCAGCTGTGCACCTACAAATATAATTGCCTGTGATATTTGCTTCAATACAACTTTTCTCATCCCAAGCTCAGCAGGTCAGTGTAGCTGCAAATATCCTTTCCATCCTCAGCTCAGCAGAGGAGAGTCTCCGGAAATATCCCTCCCATGCCCAGCTCAGCAGAGGAGAGTCTTCGAAAATATCCCTCCAATGCCCAGCTCAGCAGAGGTGTGTCTTTGTAAATATCCTTCCCATGCCCAGCTCAGCAGAGGAGTGTCTGTGGAAATATCCCTTCCATGCCCAGCTCAGCAGAGGAGTGTCTCTGGAAATATCCCTTGACTGAAGCCTAATTCATTCTACAGGCTACTAAGTCTACTTTTCCATATAGAATTTTGCAGCTGCCAAACATGATGTTCTCACACCTTTGTCCGATTTGAGCCTGAAATTGCAACAATCTAAACACAATTACCGAATGTCATGTGGTCTGTTGCAAATTATCCCTGCTCATCTGACTTTCAACATATGCCTTCTCAAAAATGAGTTCACTGACCCATCACTAGCCCCCAATTGCTACCTGCAGGATGACCCCGGGTACCCATGGGTGGTATTCTGTGCTGACGATGATGATGCGGCCTACACTCAGGCATTTCATTCCATTGATGGACTCGACCACCTTTTTCTAGATAAGGAGACAAAGAGAAATCACACATAAGGCCGAGTAGGCACACATAGGTTTGTGTGTATATAAGTACAAGCTGCAAAGAACACATTCAAAATAAAGACATGCATTGAAGAACAGAACGTCTGAACTAAGATAATCAAAAAATAATAATTCTTTATTTCACTGGAACTGGTCTAATGTATGCTAAGGGGTGAACTTCTAAAAGTGTAAAATTGCTACATTATGGACTTTTCTGTTGTGTGCAACATAAAAATCACTTGGCGATTGTGTAGACAGGAAAATGTAGCAAGCTTTCAAGTGTATTCAGCTTGCATTTGGGATGATTCAGGTTCCTTTTCACCTTACAAGTTGACTTTTCAACAAGGCTTCATAATATTTAGCAGACCATTTTCCCTCCATTAAACCACATGGAATCCACAAAAAGATCACTTTGCTCCTGGGTCTCTCTCAATCAGTTTGTGCAAAAAGTTTATTTTACTGTAAAATGATTTGACCTCTCTGAATTTACTTTTCCAAAGTAAAAGATAATGACAAGTCTAGGAGTGGAGTCTTCTACAGGTGAAAGAGTGAGGTTTTTGATGGGTGGCGCCCACCCCCAATTCAGCTGTGCACCTACAAATATAATTGCCTGTGATATTTGCTTCAATACAACTTTTCTCATCCCAAGCTCAGCAGGTCAGTGTAGCTGCAAATATCCTTTCCATCCTCAGCTCAGCAGAGGAGAGTCTCCGGAAATATCCCTCCCATGCCCAGCTCAGCAGAGGAGAGTCTTCGAAAATATCCCTCCAATGCCCAGCTCAGCAGAGGTGTGTCTTTGTAAATATCCTTCCCATGCCCAGCTCAGCAGAGGAGTGTCTGTGGAAATATCCTTCCCATGCCCAGCTCAGCAGAGGAGTGTCTGTGGAAATATCCCTTCCATGCCCAGCTCAGCAGAGGAGTGTCTCTGGAAATATCCCTCCCATGCCCAGCTCAGCAGAGGAGTGTCTGTGGAAATATCCCTTCCATGCCCAGCTCAGCAGAGGAGTGTCTCTGGAAATATCCCTTCCATGCACAGCTCAACAGAGGAGTGTCTCTGGAAATATCCCTCCCATGCCCAGCTCAGCAGAGGAGTATCTCTGGAAATATCCATTTCCATATGGGAGCTGGCCCTCCCATGCCCAGCTCAGCAGAGGAGTGTCTGTGTAAATATGCCTCCCATCCCTAGCTAGGCAGAGATGTGTCCATGGAAATATCCCTGCCATCCCCGGCTCAGCAGCAGAGGATCTCTGGAAATATCCCTCCCATCCCGTCCCCAGCTCAGCAGAAGATCTCTGGAAATATCCCTCCCGTCCTATCCCCAGCTCAGCAGAAGATCTCTGGAAATATTCCTCCCCATACGAGCAACCCAGTGTCACTGTATAAACCACTCAGCTTGGATGGTGTTTTACCTGTAAGGTCTCTTTGGTATGGACGAGTTCCTGTACAGTCAAGAAATAGTCCTGCAGGTCGGCCAGGTCCCCTGAGCATTCAATTTCCCCCATAGCTCCCAGCGTTTTGGTGAGGACCTTTATTCGCTGCTCATGGGCCTGTTGGATAAAGAAATGTTACTGATCTGATTATGATTGGTCTAGGTTTTTGCAGTGGCTGACAGAGTAGAATATTCCTTGAAGTTTACCTCCACCCACACGTCTACACATTTCTTACAAAACCCCCTATGGCAGTAGCTACAGGGGTTTACCTTGCAGCTGGAGTGTCAGACTCATACTTCCCTTTTGTCCATCACCCTCTTAGCTCCCTTTTTTAAAATTCTTTATTTAGGACAAAAAGAAACCAGTACAGTGTAGTAATAGATCAACATGTTACAATGACACAGAGTAGAAATTCTCACAATAAAATCATTTGAATATATATAGAACAAGCAATGGTGAACTGGACCTGAGCCTGCTGTAAGCCTTAGCTCCCTTCTGTCTGTGTCATCCTGTAGGAGGAGGGACAGACCCCTAGCTCCCTTCTATCTGTGTCACCCTGCAGGAGGAGGGACAGACCACTAGCTCCCTTCTATCTGTGTCACCCTGCAGGAGGAGGGACAGACTCATAGTTCCCTTCTGTCTGTGTCACACAGATTTAAAGCTTATACTCACCTTGCTGTTTTTTTGTGTCCTGGCTTCTGCAAAACTCCTCTTCATCATGTCCTCTACTCTCAGTGCTTCAACGCGGAGTAGATTCAGGATCATAGAGTACGTGAGTCGAAACTGAGACTGTAACTGAGTGGGCTTGCCCTGTGCAAGAGAAATTGCACAGTGTAAATAGACATGTTTGGTACACCAAGGAGCAATCAGGATGTACAAACTGCAGATGAACATCCAATCAGACTTTCACTTACTGAAGATTTGCGAATCAACAAATCTGGTTGTTTTTTTGTCTGATTACTGCACTTTGCACATCACTGTTACTCCATACATCATTTATGTTACATTCCAGTCTACTCTCTCTGTCTGCTACTTACCAGCATCATCCTGTGCAAATCGCCCATCTCCGGGACATCTGATTTACATAATATTATCACCATACCAGTAGTGTCCAAACCTCGGCGCCCAGCACGGCCGGCCATCTGTATATATTCTCCTATAAACAGAAATAGCAAATTATACTAAGGCTTTATTTGCCGTCATGTGCTACTAGAACTTAAGGGGAACCCCAACAATAAACTTATTTTATCCCTTTTGGTCTGTTTAATATACCATTAAAATGTTTTGCTATATTTGTTCAATAAGCGCAAAATATTCATCCTAACAGAAATCGTGTTGGTGTATAACTTCCTGTGCTGTCTCGTCAGTAACATTGTTCCCGGCTTTCTGAAGAGATGAGGAAGTTAAGAAGAGGAAGTTAAAGTCACGGCTTGTTCACACCAATTGCGGTGCGTTCCAGAGCGGTACCTGCTGGAATGTACCACAGTCGCTCACAAAACTTTCCCCCCTGTGTTCTGGGGCAGAAGGGGGCGTGGCGGTGCATTGAAGTCAATGGCACCGCAGCCACGCCCGCAGTGCGATCGGACACGTGGAAAAACATTGCCTGCGTTCCGTTCCACTGCAAACGCAGAAAATGCTGCATGCTCTATTGTTTGTGTTTGCAGCGGAATGGAACACAGGCAATGTTTTGCCACGTGTCCGATTGCACTGCGGGCGGGGGGTGAGGTGTGTAGGGCGTGGCTGCAGTGCCATTGCCACTCTCACTCCCGCCCCAGAACGCAGGGGGAATTTTTGTGAGCAATTGTGGTGCGTTCCAGCAGCTACCGCTCTGGAACGCACCGCAATTGGTGTGAACAAGCCCTCAAAGTTTCTCATGCCAGGTGGTGCTGGCAGGGCCACCCATAGTTAGGATTTCATGAAGAAGTTTAACATTTTAGATTGTAAGCTCTCGTGGTCAGGGCCCTCCATACCATCTTGTCTGGATTTGTATTTTAACTGTAATCTCCTCCTTATATTGTAAAGCGCTGCGCAGATTGTTGCCGCTATATAAATCCTGTATAATAATAATACCTGGAGTCAGGTCTCGGAAGTTGGTGCCATCATGTTTTCGGATTGAATCAAACACCACCGTACGAGCGGGCATGTTAACTCCCATGGCAAAAGTCTCCGTGGCAAACAGGATCTGAGAGAACAGCAGAGTTAGTTCAGTCTAAGCTAATACTTTAGTTATAGGTAGATGACATTCGGTAACACACATATCACTTTTGTCCCAGAACAACCTGGGCTCTAGATATATGGAAGTGGAAAGAAAGTGATGGACTCATGTGGTTATCCTGTTGGTGTTTCTCAATAGTGGTAGAATGTGATGACGGGTCATCTGGCTAACGGGTAGGCAGCTTCCACAATCTAACAGGATCTCCACTACTACTCGGCTCAACAAGCCTTTGATACATGTAAGCTTTCAGTTGGCTATAGAGGCATCTAATCGCTTGTATGGTGTGGGAAGTGTGAGGGAAGGGTGTGGGAAGTGTGCATACCTCTCCCTCTGCTGCAACTGGTGACTATCCCGGGCTTCACTGTCCTCCATGCAGGCCCAGGACCGGCACAGCGGGTCTCTGTGGCTGCATCGGAGGGGTGATCAGCACATTCCACCGGCTGTTCTCCCCCCATCACTGAATGCGGAAGTGGTGTGTATTAAATGACTTCCGCTTTCAGCCTGTCATCTCCCCGTCTGCTGTAGCCGGAGAAGAAGCTGGTGAAGTAGATCTCTGCTTCATCAGCTTCTTTGTTGGTCCCGAGGTGACATCAGAGGTCTAATAGAGACACAGCCTCGGTGTACATGTATAATATATTCAAACGGAACCCATCGCACTCCTGACCGAGCAACAACCCTTAAGATTCGGGTGGGTGACAAAAGTGACTGCGGATGCCTCCGTGGTTCAATAGATAAAGTAGAGAAGGTCACTCGCACTCGAGCTTGACCTCAGTCAATATTTATTGACCTCTCATAGTGTCACATTGTAAAGCGACGTTTCAGAACCACGCGATCCCGTATTCAGGCAAACAACAATGTGGTTCCGAAATGTCGCTTCACAATGTGACACTATGAGAGGTCCATAAATATTGACTAAAGTCCAGCTGGAGTGCGAGTGACCTTTTCTACTTTATCCATGTATAAGATATTTCACATTCGGATACACAATATTTATTTTATGGGATTATAGGTTCATGGTAGTCTTTAAATACAAATTATTGGTTTAATTAAAGGCTCCAGAATGTATTCAAAATTAACCCTTGCAGTGAGGCTACCCCTGTGCTGCAAGGTTTAATTTCTTATACCTCATACCACCTTATATTCTCATATAATGGACCTGCATTAGACATGATGACGTCAGGGGGCCATAGACCGCCAGAGCCGGGGGAGAAAGAGGCTGCGGGGACCGGTCTAGAAGCCAGTTGGGACAGAGAATCAGGGGCCTATATCGTCTTTATTTTCGTTCCTACACTAAAACAAGCCGTTAACCCTTCCAATGTGGAGGGGTAGCCCCACTGCAAGGGTTAATCTGAATACACCCTGGAGTTCTTCTCGAATATCTGGCAGATTGTATTGAACTGTTAGACTGCTAACCAGCGTGTTGGAGACTTTTTTTTCCTTAGAATTCTAATTTGGATACAGCTTGATATGGAGAGAATCTGCCCGGTATTAGTGCTATCATACTGCGACTGCCATCTGGAGGAGTAATAGACACACCTGGAATATTTATTTAGGGATCACCTTTTATTAGACATATAAAAATATTCATTTTTATAATGTTCCCAGCTCTATGTCCAATCATGGATCGCATACAATGGATAAGGACGTGTTGGGACTGCTCCAGCAAACGCTGTCCTTATATGTTTACTTTCTGATACCACAGTTGGCAATAATTAAATTTCTGAGGAAATTCTACAGAAAAGAATTTTACAATAGACGACTTACTAATTAACTCATGACAAATATATGAGAGATATTTTGGATAATTGGATGTAACTTTGCACACGCCATATGTCTATTACCTTGAGTTATACTAGGGGCTCTTTCTTTAAGTGTTTTAATTCAAAGTGGTTTATTGGCTATTAGATTATGAATACAGGTTTTGTACTTTTTTTCCCCCTACAAAATAGCGCTTTGATACCTTAAAATATAAAAGGCAAATTACTTTTCCGGGGTATGATCCATCCTGTACTGCAACACAGAGCAGAAGCACTACACAGCAATACAGTGCATCACACAATGAGTTACATTCCCATGTATCACAAGACAAGGGTCCTGGGCCCTTCACGTCATTCAGCGCTTTACCCCCCGGACTGAATATGTGGTCTGTAAGGATCCACCAGTAATACCTTGCAGCGCAATGATACGCTAAAGTAGAACTGAACTTCTATATTTTTTTGGGGATAGAGTTAGAGGGAGGGTTATAACCCAGTCAGCTTTTTTTGGCATCTGTGTTCCATTAGAGAGTTTTCCCTTCACGTCCTGTTTTGGTAATTATCTAAACCAGAAGGAATGGGGCTTTTAAGGTGTCCCAATTTCCAAACCAACCACGTTATCTAAAAACATTTAGCTTTATTTTATCACATAAAAACATTTATCACATAAAAACATCTTATGGTACTCAGATAAAGATTAATCTCCAAATTTTCGAACATGTTCGTAAGATAATACAGTGAGAACCATGTAATGAGAACCACGCAGCGTGAACTACTCAGTGTGAACCATGTAATGAGAACCACGCAGCGGGAACTACGCAGGGAGAACCATGTAATGAGACCCACGCAGTGAGAACCGTGTAATGAGAACCACGCAGCGGGAACTACGCAGGGAGAACCATGTAATGAGACCCACGCAGTGAGAACCGTGTAATGAGAACCACGCAGCGGGAACTACGCAGGGAGAACCATGTAATGAGACCCACGCAGTGAGAACCGTGTAATGAGAACCACGCAGCGGGAACTACGCAGGGAGAACCATGTAATGAGACCCACGCAGTGAGAACCGTGTAATGAGAACCACGCAGCGGGAACTACGCAGGGAGAACCATGTAATGAGACCCACGCAGTGAGAACCGTGTAATGAGAACCACGCAGCGGGAACTACGCAGGGAGAACCATGTAATGAGACCCACGCAGTGAGAACCGTGTAATGAGAACCACGCAGCGGGAACTACGCAGGGAGAACCATGTAATGAGACCCACGCAGTGAGAACCGTGTAATGAGAACCACGCAGCGGGAACTACGCAGGGAGAACCATGTAATGAGACCCACGCAGTGAGAACCGTGTAATGAGAACCACGCAGCGGGAACTACGCAGGGAGAACCATGTAATGAGACCCACGCAGTGAGAACCGTGTAATGAGAACCACGCAGCGGGAACTACGCAGGGAGAACCATGTAATGAGACCCACGCAGTGAGAACCGTGTAATGAGAACCACGCAGCGGGAACTACGCAGGGAGAACCATGTAATGAGACCCACGCAGTGAGAACCGTGTAATGAGAACCACGCAGCGGGAACTACGCAGGGAGAACCATGTAATGAGACCCACGCAGTGAGAACCGTGTAATGAGAACCACGCAGCGGGAACTACGCAGGGAGAACCATGTAATGAGACCCACGCAGTGAGAACCGTGTAATGAGAACCACGCAGCGGGAACTACGCAGGGAGAACCATGTAATGAGACCCACGCAGTGAGAACCGTGTAATGAGAACCACGCAGCGGGAACTACGCAGGGAGAACCATGTAATGAGACCCACGCAGTGAGAACCGTGTAATGAGAACCACGCAGCGGGAACTACGCAGGGAGAACCATGTAATGAGACCCACGCAGTGAGAACCGTGTAATGAGAACCACGCAGCGGGAACTACGCAGGGAGAACCATGTAATGAGACCCACGCAGTGAGAACCGTGTAATGAGAACCACGCAGCGGGAACTACGCAGGGAGAACCATGTAATGAGACCCACGCAGTGAGAACCGTGTAATGAGAACCACGCAGCGGGAACTACGCAGGGAGAACCATGTAATGAGACCCACGCAGTGAGAACCGTGTAATGAGAACCACGCAGCGGGAACTACGCAGGGAGAACCATGTAATGAGACCCACGCAGTGAGAACCGTGTAATGAGAACCACGCAGCGGGAACTACGCAGGGAGAACCATGTAATGAGACCCACGCAGTGAGAACCGTGTAATGAGAACCACGCAGCGGGAACTACGCAGGGAGAACCATGTAATGAGACCCACGCAGTGAGAACCGTGTAATGAGAACCACGCAGCGGGAACTACGCAGGGAGAACCATGTAATGAGACCCACGCAGTGAGAACCGTGTAATGAGAACCACGCAGCGGGAACTACGCAGGGAGAACCATGTAATGAGACCCACGCAGTGAGAACCGTGTAATGAGAACCACGCAGCGGGAACTACGCAGGGAGAACCATGTAATGAGACCCACGCAGTGAGAACCGTGTAATGAGAACCACGCAGCGGGAACTACGCAGGGAGAACCATGTAATGAGACCCACGCAGTGAGAACCGTGTAATGAGAACCACGCAGCGGGAACTACGCAGGGAGAACCATGTAATGAGACCCACGCAGTGAGAACCGTGTAATGAGAACCACGCAGCGGGAACTACGCAGGGAGAACCATGTAATGAGACCCACGCAGTGAGAACCGTGTAATGAGAACCACGCAGCGGGAACTACGCAGGGAGAACCATGTAATGAGACCCACGCAGTGAGAACCGTGTAATGAGAACCACGCAGCGGGAACTACGCAGGGAGAACCATGTAATGAGACCCACGCAGTGAGAACCGTGTAATGAGAACCACGCAGCGGGAACTACGCAGGGAGAACCATGTAATGAGACCCACGCAGTGAGAACCGTGTAATGAGAACCACGCAGCGGGAACTACGCAGGGAGAACCATGTAATGAGACCCACGCAGTGAGAACCGTGTAATGAGAACCACGCAGCGGGAACTACGCAGGGAGAACCATGTAATGAGACCCACGCAGTGAGAACCGTGTAATGAGAACCACGCAGCGGGAACTACGCAGGGAGAACCATGTAATGAGACCCACGCAGTGAGAACCGTGTAATGAGAACCACGCAGCGGGAACTACGCAGGGAGAACCATGTAATGAGACCCACGCAGTGAGAACCGTGTAATGAGAACCACGCAGCGGGAACTACGCAGGGAGAACCATGTAATGAGACCCACGCAGTGAGAACCGTGTAATGAGAACCACGCAGCGGGAACTACGCAGGGAGAACCATGTAATGAGACCCACGCAGTGAGAACCGTGTAATGAGAACCACGCAGCGGGAACTACGCAGGGAGAACCATGTAATGAGACCCACGCAGTGAGAACCGTGTAATGAGAACCACGCAGCGGGAACTACGCAGGGAGAACCATGTAATGAGACCCACGCAGTGAGAACCGTGTAATGAGAACCACGCAGTGTGAACTACTCAGTGTGAACCATGTAGTGAGAACCACGCAAAGCTACCCTTTCAGGAGGGATATCCCTCCACTGGAAGGGTTAGGTGCTCATTTATCAGTAAAGGATGGACACCAGCACTCCAAAGCAGGTTCAGTACGTGTTTATTAACGTACTAGTTGCAAGTAGAACACTCTAAACAATGTCACTTGTTTTGCCTGAAGAAGGGGATCCTGTGAGACCCCCTGAAACGTTGTTTAGAGTGTTCTACTTGCAACTAGTACGTTAATAAACACGTACTGAACCTGCTTTGGAGTGCTGGTGTCCATCCTTTAATGATATTTTGTCTGAAGCCACCCGGTGACACCCACCCTCTATTTTTGGAGCAGCGGCTCTGAATGCGATGGGTACACGGACTGTTTCCAGGTGCTCATTTATGCCTAGGGGACTAGGGAAAAGCACTTTTAACTTACCTGATCCCCTCCCCTGGTAGTCAGTGCACACCTCTCTCCCCTCTGCTCTGGCTGGTGGAATGTCCCTCGGCGTCCTCACATCTAGTACAGATCTATGGCACCTATATTTTTAAGTGATGGCTTCATGGGTCCTTAGATCACTGGAGCAAAGGGGAAAAGTGGCTGTGGGGCCTGGTCTAGCAGCCCAGAGGGAGCAGGGGTCAGGTAGGCAAAACAGCTTTTTCTTGTCCCCTAGGGATAAAGGCACACATAAAGTGACACTAAACTCAGGAGTTAAATCTTAAAAATGCATTCAAGAACCTCAACTATTAACAAAAATGTATCTTATTTGTGTATCACTCGGCTGTAGACCCTCCAATCATCTCTGAATTGGTGCTGACACTGTCCTTCCTTCAGGAGAGGGGCTACTTTTGTTCCCCATGGTCCCTGTGTGTGTTGTAAAGTAGTCACCGCTCTAAGCTCACTCCTGTGATGGACTACAATCTCAATACAAATTAGTAAACTAAACATGAGATTGTAATCTATCACGGGAGTGAGCTTGGAGCGGTGACTTCTTTACAACACACACATGGACCATGAGGAACAAAAGTAGCCCCCCCTCCAGAAGGAAGGACAGTGTCAGCACCAATTCAGAGATGATTTGAGGATCTACAGCCGAGTGATACACAAATAAGATACATTAATGATAATAGTTCAGGTACTTTGATGTATTTTTAAAATGTAACTCCTGAGGTTTAGGGTCACTTTAACCCTTGCAGCTCAGGGGTAGCCCCACTGCAAGGGTAGTTTTTTTGCTTTTCCCGGAGATGGACTTTCACTGTGACAGACTTGTCTGAACAAAGTAGAGATCACCACAGGCTGGCAGGAGGATAGACTGTAGTTTGGATATCAGTATGGAGGCAAACACTGCAGAAAGCTGGGAAAGATTTACACAAACATGGAACTTGGCTCAGATAAGAAGCCAGCGGTCAGGGATTCATTTATCTCTTGCCGGGAAAAGACAACAAAAATCAAACAAACTATTGATGCACCGTGCCTTGTTACACAAGACAGAATTCACAGGAATCGTCGCTATCAAACAATAAACAGAGATATCACATAAAGGTCTATGAGGATGGCCTTTTTTTGCCCCACATTGTGCAGCTGCTATTTTACTTTCATTTCACAGCATGGCTCCCTCCTGACAAAATACTGTGCACAGCAGGGAACTAAATGAACATCTGTGAAGAACGCTGGATTCGTGGAAAAGCAGAATGCTGTTTTATAAGGAAAAGTGCTGCGTAGCTAAACGAGACCTGGTCACCTTGCTCAATCAGGGCAAAATGACAGGGTCTCTTTAAGGCCTGGTTCACACCTGTACGTTTTGTAGCGCATTCAACGCTCTACGAACGCTCTACAAAACGCTCAAACATGAAAATCCCATTGTTTTCTATGGGCATGGTTCACACCTTGCCGTATTTCAGCCCGTCTGAACGCGCTACAAAACGGCCTGCGCCTGAAAAGGTACATGAGCTTCCATTGGGATACAGCCAAGTAGCCCTCGGAAACGCGTTTTTTTACAGCGAATCGCGGTAAAAACGCGCGTCACGAAACGCGCGACAAACGCGCATATTCGATATGCCTAGGCGTGAACAGAGCCTCAAGCAAAACCCCAAACCAACTTATACCCTTTGTAGCACCACCACTCTTTCCTCTGGTCTCAAAATGTCCGGTACTTTCAGGTATGTGGTAACATGTGACCTCCTTCCATGATGCAGTGCGCAACCCAGCATCCAATCACTAGGCCTGAACAATGTTACAGGACGTAGGGGGCGACTTCATACCCCATGTGTAAGCTCCAGCACTGCCCACTATAAAGCTTATGCAGAGTCATTTGCAGCAGCTGCAACGAAAGGAAGGGGTTGCGTGGCAATGCTGTCTAGTTCCTAAATAGGAAAGGTGACAGGGTCACTTTCAAGTAGTTTTATGTGATTTTTACATTTTTACAAGCTTGCATTTTATTATTTTGTGTTTGTATTAAATGCAGAGATTTGTAGATTAGCCATTAGACGCAGGGTAAATAAGCCCACTGCATGGCTCTGCCAAACTTTTTACAGGCCACTGGGGTAAACTATCAGCTGCACAGGGAGTGCATTGTTTTTAATGTGTCAGCAGATTCATAGGTAATTGATACGGCTCCATTTTAAGAAATCGTAAAGTTCAACCACTGTAAGGCACCAAAAAGCAGGAAGCAGAGCGTGTATATGTAATAAGCAAAATATATTTACAATATATACCGGAAAAAAAAATTTGTTGTAAGTGACAGTTTTTTTTTCTTTTCAACCTTACTGGACAGTATGGAAGGCTGCCATTGCTGACCTGTGTGTCTGATAGCAGTAGTTTCCTGGGTGTCATTCATTTCCAACAGTTTAAGCATTTCCTGAGTCACTGACTTGAAAAGTATGTAGACCAAGAGTTCTGACTGCACTATGACCTCTATGATCTGCATTCTTGTTCCCAAACCTTTTTTTGGCTTTACTTCTCTTTTGGGTCACAGGAGTTGATTTACTAATCTACTCCTGTGACCCAAAGAAAGCATAAAGCAGGCTACTGGCCGCTATATGCTGACAGCGCAGAGCCGCAGTGCAGCCTGGAAAGATCCCGACAATACTGCTGAGATCCACCTGGCTGCCTGATTGACACGTGGCTCTGCCTCTCTAGAGCCAGCTATGCCCGCCCCCTCACCTGTCTGTCCTTCCAATGAGTGCTGGAGAGAGAGGAGGGGGGGATTCCTGACAAAAACTGAACTCTGCTGGAAGGAAACTGAGCTGTGCGATCAGCAGTCACATGATCGCTGCGCACTCAATCTATAGAGGCGGCGTGTAGCAGGTGCCGGCTTTAAAGGAGAATTATGAGGCGAGTGATTTTCACTCAGCCTCATAATCTGAGCCGACCTGTGACAATGAAACTGTCACAGGTCGGCTCAGTAGATCGGGAAGTGAGCGAACACATACCGTCGCTTCTCTCACTTCTCGATCTATCCCTGCAGAGAGCCGTGATTGTAACTAACGGCTCCCTGCAGGGATTCCCCCCCTCCCGTCTAATCCTCCCGTGCTGACTGGCAAAACGGACGGGGAGGGGGCGGGCACAGCTGGCTCTGCCTCTGGATAGGCAGAGCCAGCTGTCACTCACGCAGCTGGGCGGATCCAGACAGTATTGTCGGGATTCGTCCCGTCTGCGGACTCTCAGGATACCGCGAGCTGTAGCTCGCGGTATACTGAGCTTTGGGTCACGGGAGAACGCTAGTTTGTGTTCTCCCATGACCCTTAGGAGAACTATGGGGAAAAGCCCTGACCCCATAGTTCTCCTTTATTTTACTCTCCCAATACTTCTTCTTTAAGCGTGAGGCACCCAAGCAAATAGCATTCCACAAGGAGGTGAGCAACAGCAGCCTCTGTAAGGAAAAACAAGTCACAGCTAACACTGACCTTGACCAGTCCGCGGCTGAACAACATCTCCACCACCTCCTTCAGGATGGGAAGGATTCCGCTGTGATGGATTCCAATTCCTCTCTTTAATAGATCCAGCATGTGCAGCACCTGTAATAATTGTGTATATACGATTATCTCCAAACTCTCTTCTTTCTGGGTCTATACTAATCTGGTCACTGGGATTAGTATGAGGGTTAGTGTTTGGGTACAGAGAAGGTTAGTGTTTGGATTTACAATCTGGGTGAGTGATAGGTTCACAGGGAGGGATAGTGTTGGACGTTACCGGGAGGGTTAATGTTAGGAGTTACAGGGAGGGTTAATGTTAGGAGTTACAGGGAGGGTTAATGTTAGGAGTTACAGGGAGGGTTAATGTTAGGAGTTACAGGGAGGGTTAATGTTAGGAGTTAGAGGGAGGGTTAATGTTAGGAGTTAGAGGGAGGGTTAGTGTTAGTGTTACAGGCTGGGTTAAGCCTCCTTCACATGGGTGATCTGCCACAGGAATGCCAGGTGTCCCCATTCAGATGTGGCCGCTGTACCCATTGAAGTTAATGAGCAGGTGACAGTGTCAGTCCGTCTGCAATGGTATATGATATGATTACTTGCAATTTGGAATAGATGAGTAGGAAATATGCATGTATTGCAGAGAGGGACTTCATATGGTTTTTTTTGTTCTAATTTTGCCCTAACATACACTTTAAAAAGTTTTCTGAATTGAGACAATTTTGTCCAAAACCACAGGAAAAAAAGAACATTTATACAGAAGAGTGTATGTATGCCATCTGTATCCTGGTCACTAGTTGTGAGCCTGGGCTTGGTGTGAACCCAGTTCAAAGGAGTTTGCCCAAGCCCTTTCAAAGCTGGAATTGCACAATTGTCCAAAATGTCTTTGTATGCTGTAGAATTAACAGTACCAGTCACTGGAAACACCTGAACTGCATAATTTGAAGAGGCGTGCACATACCGTACTATTGGTAATTTAAGTAGGTACGATGGTCAGGTGTCAATGTATGAGAGTTACAGCAGATGGGCACAGCTGACCAGCCAAGTACACAATGCTGGCTATTGCAATATCTGAGATATAAAATACATTGTTGGAAAATGATTCAGCCTTCCAGTGTCATCCTATGTCATGTTATAATTACCCTTTGAATAATGATCATCATGAATACCAGGAATAGGTACAGAGTGCATGCATCAAGGACTGTGTGACACAAACCTGCGGGAGCTGGCGATCACTCCCACGCAGTCGGCTCAGGCACTTGGTATAGTACGTCTGGACCTCGCTCCGCTCCGATGCCGTGCATAGGTCTACCGTGGTCAATGCTGAGGCGTTCTGTTCACACCGGATTCGAGAGAAGGTGAAAATCACCACAGGAAGGCCATCTCGCCGCCGGAGAGACTGGATTAGAGACAGCCACGTGCCCTTATCCTGGGAAAAGAAATGTGGCATCACTTCAATCTGTCCAATCCGTAAGACCGTACAAACTGCTACAATGATACAAATAGCGGTGTAGCCTTTTATAAAAGCACTCAGCCTTTCGCTAGAGGTTTATTTTCGCTGGGGTTTTCTTCTCCTCATCACCCCTTTGGGGTAAAGTAGCTCCCACTCTAAGCTCGCTCTTGTGATGGACTATAATCTCAATACAAATTAGAAAACTAAACATGAGATTGTAGTCCATCACAGGAGCGAGCTTGGAGCGGTGACTACTTTACAAACACACACAGGGACCATAGGGAGCAAACTAAACATGAGATTGTAGTCCATCACAGGAGCGAGCTTGGAGCGGTGACTACTTTACAACACACACAGGGACCATAGGGAACAAAAGTAGCCACCCTCCAGAAGGAAGGACAGTGTCAGCACCAATTCAGAGATGGTTTGAGGATCTACAGCCAAGTTATCAACAAAATAAAATACATTTTTGTTAACAGTTAAGGTACTTGAATGCAATTTTAAAATGTAACTCCTGAGTTTACGGTCACTTTAAATCGGGAGCTGTCCCCTGCAGTTCCTCTTCTTTACCATAAGATGTCCTTATCTTCTGGATTTAATGATACGCAGCATCACTGAACCAGAAAGACTGAGGACTCCACAGTGCAGGGCATCATGGCTCCGCCCACAAGATCAATGCCTGGCATTCACAGAGGGGAATTTATCAAAACTGGAGCAGACAAAATCTGAGCAACCAATCAACTTCTCTCTTCAGTTTGTTCAGTTAGGTTTTGATTGGTTGCTGTGCACAGCAGCTCCAGATTTTCTCTGCTCCAGTTTTGATAAATTCCCCTCACAGTGTACTGGTGCAAAGAGTGGTCACCTGCCTGCGTTCTGGCTTTGCACATTACTTACATGCCCAGCTCCACCTCCATGTGGGTGTTTTGCTCCAAAGGTTTGCGAATATTTAGACGTTCGCTCCTTTTTTGCATCAACAGCAGCATAGTAGCTAGAAAAAAAGAAAGGAAACACTATATCACTAGATTGTAAAGGAAATCGGTTATCTTTTTGGGGGATTTACCTTTCATGGATATCGTTCGCATAAACACTGTTCGGTCATTGGTGAAATAGGACCGTTCTCCTAAAATAAGAATAAGGAATCCATTAAGGTTCTTCTCACCCTTTGGTCTGGAAAGCTCCGGAAGCGTCCTGCAGCAGGAAAAACTCATTCTGTGTCTTCTGACTGTTCCCCGTGTACAGATAATGTTCCAGCGGCACCGGCCTCTTGGTGGTACTGATCACATAGATCTTCTTCTTCTTTATCCTCCTATCAGGAGTTTAAATACGAACAACATCTAGGTAATGTATACATTTTCTTTAGGACTAAAGAAATATACACTTTATTAGGGCCTGCGTCAAAAGGCTTTTGTTTGCTTCAAACTGGCTTTGCATTCCCATACAAGTCTATGGCAATGAAAAACCTGCCTGAAGCAGGTCAAACGCACCTGAACAATCTTAAAGCTGTCTCAAACTGATGCTATCAACACAAGGCCAAAGCCCGGCGACCCAGGCTCTAAGTCACAGAAATATAAATTATTGCATATTATTATTTTTGGCCAGCAGGGGGAGCTTTAGGCTCATTTACACATTTTTCAGGCTATTCTGTTGCTCCTTTGTCCTAAAAAGCCTGTTGTTGACAGAGCTCAGTGGCTCAAGCTGAAATTTACACACACAAAGGAATTACTCATTATAGTAGTTTACTATTTGACTAAAACGCTCTGGCTGAGGCAGAAGTTTCAATCAGAGAAATCCAGCCTCAAAATAAACAGCTTCTTCTAAGTTGTTCTTTTAAATAACTCATACTGCTATGGGAATCATTTGCTGTGTGTAAAGTGTGACTAATCCCCCTCCCTTCCTACCTACTGTGCTCAGTTGATCCCTTAGGACAGCGGTGGGCAACTCCGGGACTCCAGCTGTTGTGGAACTACAAGTTCCATGAGTCATTGCAAGACTGACAGTTAGAGGCATGACTCCCAGAGGCAGAGGCATAATGGGAGTACATCAGGCAATTCTTATCTCCATGCCAAGAGTAACCATCACCCAAGATGGATTAAAAATCTTCCAGTTTGGTAGATTGAGAAAAACATGTACATCCAGCTTGGATTACTAGACTTTGGGGGCGACACTAACCAAGAGGTTTTTGGATAAGGGGTACGATGCCCAGTTGATTGAGGATGCCTATCCCTAAAAAAGAACGGACTGATAGGAACTCTTATAAAATACGTTTCTGCACACAGTTCAACGATGGAGCCTTTCGGATTGCAAAAATCCTCAAAAATTACTGGCGAATACTAAAGGAAGACCCCGCACTGAAACATTCCCTTCCGACTGTCCCTAATGTTATATATAAGAAACCCAAAAGATCCCCGTAGCCTAATAGCCCCCAGTAGACTAAAATCCACCAAAAGAACTAACCTAGGTAAAGGCCTTTTTGGACAAGTGGGTTGCTACAAGTGCAATGTCCATAGTTGTGGAGCTTGTCCTTTCCTGTGGCATAGGAAAAAAGATATCTCTTATTCTGGAGGGGCAAACCTTTCCCATTAGGCAATTCATTAATTGCGCGTCTTGCTATGTCATCTACGGCATCATTTGCCCTTGTGGCAAACTATATGTGGGGCGCACAACAAGAACCCTAAGGACCAGATTTGGAGAACACAAAAGGAAATTTTTTAAGAAAGCAGACGACCATTCACTCCCACGACATTTTTTAGAGGCCCACAAGTCAAGTCCTGAAGGACTAAAGGTTTTCGGGATTTAAATGATACCCGATAATTTCGATGAAGGCCAAAAATTTAAGAAACTCTGCCAGAGGGAAGCCTTTTGGATATACTCTCTCAATAGCCTGTTCCCTACAGGCCTGAATGGGGGCATTGAGCTGGCCTCCTCCCTTTGAACCCTGGGCTAATGGTGTCCCTCTTCTTTCATTTCTGGTTCCAGAGTGGGAGACACCATGCTTTACCATCTCTACCCCCCCCCCCCCTCCCCATTATCCTTCCCCATTCAGTTTTCAGATCAGACTCCCATACCTTTTCCTGGACCAATGTTTTTTTCATCCACTAAGCCATCACCAACATACATATATCATCACATTATTTATTTAACAAGTTTTTATCAATTGTTCACTAACTATATCATGCAAATCCACCAGCTTGTTGCTTTTTATTATGCATTTATATTATGCATCTTTTATATATACAAGCCTTTATCATGCATTTAGTATGTACATTGAAGCCAACCTTTTTAGTTTGCCTACCATGCCTATTACTATGCTGCTATGCATCATGCTTGTTATCATGCTTGTTATCATGCATTTAGTATGTACATTGAAGCCATGAGGGTTATCATTCTCACGTTATGCATTTTTTTTATATATCCCTATATTTATCTTTAATCATTGTTTTCAATATCACATGTATTTTCGCAGTCTTATTGTGGTAAGAGCCGCATGCTGACTCTTGTCTCCTCTCCACTCCTCCCCCCCTTGGGTACCGCCACAGGGATGCTAATAGAATCCTGTCCCCATATATTGGGACGCGTTGACAGTGACAGAGACCCTGCTTGTGCTGCCTTCGGCTTTTCGCAGCTTTGATTGGCTGGGAGACCGGCGATATTTGCTAGGTACAACCCGATTCTTACCAGGCCAGTCCGGCCTGCTCATTATCACACCCACTATAGGCTGATATCCCATCAGCTGATAGTGGCCAATCAGGTCTTCACTGCCCCTTTTTAGCCGACGTGGAGGGGAGACTTGAATCACGTTCTGATGAAGGGGCGTGCCCCGGAAACGCGTTGACACCTCACGGATCTGCATACAGGACTTATCATACGGATCCCTCCATTGCTCCGGTTTTTTACTGTCCTACAGGTTGTTGTTATTCCACCCTTGTGTGTACCTGCCAGCTTGTCTTCTTTTATTATTGTTGAATAAACTAATCTGCATTAGGAAAGGCGCCCCTCTCTTTGTGTTTTCTCATATTGGGAGTTCTAGTTAAAGCACAACTAGAGGGCCGGGGTTGCCCACCCCTGCATTAGGACGTTTCAGTCACAGAGAGGATGAGGAAGGCAGGTAACTGCTATGCTGTCTCTTTTGAAAAACCATAGTGCTCTGGGAATCCAGTGTCATGGGTGTAGCAAACCATTACCCTGTACCATTATGATAACCCTACTAAATTCCTACAGAGTACATTGTAAACATGAAACATAATGATCTGTAACCTACCCAATCCAGTCTGCAAACTCTACGGTGTTGGGGACTGTGGCGCTCAGCAGAATTATATTTACGTGGTCTGGCAACATGATCAGAACCTCTTCCCATACGACGCCACGCTGTGGACGAGAGATAGTAATGTGGTAAATAGGGGCCTGAGCAGTGTGCAAAAAGATGGCGTACTGTGGCGGTGCTCACCTCTGCATCATTAATATAATGGACCTCGTCAAAGATCACCCATTCTAAGTCTCGAATGACGTCGGAACCGTTGTACAGCATAGATCTGTGGAAAGAAGCTGTGCTAAGTGATATAGCAGCAGAGACAGAACTTTGGGACTCTGAGGGGAATCGAATGGGAATATATTTATCATACGATAGGTATTCATTGAACACATTGAGGAGCAAATGCCAACACTAAATATTTCTTATACTATACAGGAAATGGCGGACAAAATGGGAACATTTATCTTCAAATAGGGCCAGAGAGCATGGTCAGTGTATACCGGTGGTCTCCAAACTAAGGCCCTTTGCTTGTCTTTGACTGGCCCTTGAGGCGCTATTCCTCCCACTGACACCAACAATAGGGCATTATTCCTCCCACCCATCTCAAGAATCCAGCACTATTCCTTCCACTCACACTAACGATGGGGCACTTTTTCCCCAACTGACACCAATAATGGGGCACTGTTCCTTACTTTGACATCGCAGATGGAGCACTATTTCTCCCACTGACACCAACAATTTGGGGGGGGGGTCCTCCACTAATATCAACGATTGGGCACTATTCATTCCACTATTACCAAAATGTTCCTTCAACTGACAGCAAAAAAGGGAAATTATTCCTTCCACTTTCACCAATCACGGGGGCCTATTCTTGCAACTGACAGCAATGATGGGGCACTATTCCTTCCACTGACACCAAAGACTGGGCGGAAAACCTTCCACTGACACTAAAGACCGGTTACTATTCTCCCCAAATGGTGCCAACCATGGGCCAGTATTTATTCCGCTGATATTATTAATGGAGCACTATTCCTCTACTGAGCCCAACAACAGACGTTCCTTCCACTGAAACCAATGATGGGGCATTATTCCACCTTCCACTAACCACAGGCACCAGGTCTTTTTTTTACTCCTACTCTTCGCCAACCATAGCACACAAGCCATTTTCTACTCCTACTAGTCATAGTCCAGCCCCCCTGAGGTCTAAAGGACACTGAACTGGCACTTTGTTCAAACAACTTGAGGACCCCTGCCCTATATATTTTCTATATAGCTGATTAAAAGTACAGAGTATGTAAACCCAAGCACCAAATCCCCATATAAGCTGATCTTGTTTTGTATTTCAAAAGTAATTTTTACACTTTGATATCTGCAGCTTTCATTAAAATAACACCTGGTGATCCTGCCATGAAGATCCTAGTTCATACACTTCCTGTCATAGGGTGACAACATTCTCTCCCTGTATCCCATTTGTGCTTCTGTATTTAATCCTTTACAATGGAGACTATAACATACATTATGCAGACATGGTCCGCTGTTGTCACCAAAATGAAACATACCCCTGAGAAATGCCATGTAGCCATTGGTGGAGTGCATGTAGACAGGAAGTGGCTGTAAAGGAGCCAGATGCAACAAAAGGACGAAAATAGGTAAAAATGTGTTTTATTAAAAAAAAGGAACGTGTTTATGATACGCAATGCAATAGTCAACTAAATGTCGTTCAGTTAGCATTTACATCTATATCACAGTCCTATCCAGCACCAAAAACATTAAAAATGGCTTTTGAAATGACATGAACATGTTGAAGGTTATATGAGATTTTAATGATTTGGTTTACATCTACAGAAGACAAGCACGTACCGTAAGATCTCTGTGGTCATTATAAGACATGACGCTCCTGTATAGAGTTGGACATCCCCCGTGATCAGTCCAACATCTCCAAATGTGATCTTGAAATCTCGAAACTTCTGATTGGATAAAGCCTTTATGGGGGAGGTGTAGATGGATCTAGAGGAAGAAATAAATGGACACACACATCAACAAAACACTCTTTTATTCCAGTTATGTCTTCACTGAAAAATGATTTAATACATTTTCGAAATACATGTACTTATAAGGCTTAGTCCACATTTTAGACCCTTGGTTCTCAACTGGTGGGTCGCGACCCCATGTTCAGTGGGTCGACGCATGCCTTCCACTTTTCTAGGTGAAAGGTTCCTCAGCCTCCCCCTAGTGCAGCACTGTCAGTTCTCATGTGAAGCAGCCATTCAAAATATGCTGCCCGGAGCTGAGTATCAGCTTGAGGTGGAGTGGGCTGGGGGTATGGACGTGAGGGAGCTCCATCCATAAATGCATTGCTTACAGCTCCCTCATGTGTCCTGCAGAGGTGCCTGTACTTGAGTGGTGTCACATTCTGGCTCCCGCCACCTCTACAGGGTGCACAAGGGAGCTGTCCCAGCAATGCACATATGGATGGAGCTCTGTCACAGCACAGCAGCCCACACTGGACCCCAGGCTGAGGATCCTCTCCAGTTCTCATAAGGTAGGGAGATTGGGTGGATCTTAAAAAAAGGAAATCAAAAAATGTTTTTGGAGTGTGTGTGAGAATGTCTGTGAGTGTGTGAGATTGTGTATGTGGTTGTGTATGCATGTCAGTGTTTTTGAGGGCCCATTTACAGCAGTGCAGTGCGTTAATAGTACAGTCCTGTGCGATTAACGCACTGTACCAAAAAAATCGCACCTACCGTGCATTCTGTTGTGGGAGGTGTGTTGCGTTGCCATTCATTTGAATGGTACCCCAAACGCACCTCCTACCCACAGTTTGTACATCCGTACCAGAACGCAACTTAATGACCAAGGACAAATGTGGATCCTGAGGTTACACAGGTTGAGAAGCACTGTTTTAGACCATGTTTAGGGTATAAGAAAAGGAAGGATGCAATACACCATCCTCAAAACCCAACCGCCCCTCCTTACATGAACCGTGGGGTGCATCTCCTAGCAGAAATTTGTCATAATTTGAAATAAGTGCGGTTGTGCGTCGCTCCACCAGTACAGCCACGTCATCTAGGGCAAGGATTGTCTCATCTGGCAGAGGGTCTCCGCAGTGTGTACCGGTGATCCTTCCTCTTCATGTGGTCACAGAGCTTGTACCTGCGTGCGCTCCCTGTCTCCCTCTCTGCCTCCACTCCCATGAGTGTCTGCCAGGCGGAGTCTTCTAGAAGAGGCTTTCAATTATGCCCAAGCGCGTTCTCAGGTGTAAACGACAGTGGTACATCTAAGGTGGTGGAGGAGAACAGCTGGACGCAACAGCACGGCGACATCACATCAATTTGTACTCCAGCCGCACCTCCCTTAGGCCTATAACAGAAGGTCTGTACCTCATTATGGATCTGAGGCCCGGGGAAAACATCTCAAGAGCCTGTGCATTGCACCTGTGTGCTAGGACTACCGAACGCCTCCCCTTCTCCTCACCTCCAAAAGAAGGAAGTGTTCAGCAATCTACAGGGAGAACTGAGCAGAGCTAATCATTTTGGGGATTTCAGTGCAGCAGAGGAAGAGAGCAAGGGATGTTAAGGGCTCACTGGATTTCTAGCAGGACCAATGAGTATTTTTCTTTACTTGCAGGTATTAAAAAGGGATAAAACATGGGAACACGTGCATGTTGGAGAGATTTAATAATTTTGTTTTTTTTTAACTTTTCCCATACATACACATTAAGTAGATAAATAAATGGATGGATACACTAACCTGGTCATGTGCTTCAGAGACAGCGCTATGGCATATTCTGCTACCACAGTCTTCCCGGCAGATGTGTGAGCTGCAATAAAGACAGAGGAACCGTCTTCGAGACACTGAATGGCTTTCTTCTGGAAAAGGTCCAGTTCAAATGGATGCTGCAGATACAAAAACCGACATGACATACCCAATATATACAGCCAGGCAGGACGTCTTAAAGGGGAAACACCACAGATTCTGTATATCAGTATAAACTATACAGTAAAAGCCCTTACTGAAGGTCAAAGAGTTTGCTCTTGATTCACAATTGTCTAGGACTCTGGAGGCACAGTTGTGACAGGCCGAGAGCTTAATTTTCAGATGAGCTACTTGTGTCACCGGCCTGTGAAATTACTATATATTCCTGTACAGTAGGGGTAGCCAAGACCCTCCAGCTGTGGCGACACTGCAAATCCCATTAGGCAGGACTCTTACAGCCACAGACATGACTTCCAGACGCTGATGCGTAATGGGATTTGTACTCCCACCACAGCTGGAGGGCCGAAGTTTGGCTACCCCTGCCGTACAGAATCCATCAGAACAGGGGTAAACCAACACTAGCACTCCAGCTGTTGTGGAACTACAGGTCCTGTAGTACACGATGCATTGCAAGACCGACAGCCACGGGCATGACTCCCAGAGGCAGAGACATGATGGGATTTTTAGTTTCACCAAGTGGTTGTGTGAGCTGGCTCAATGCTTCTTAAATGGATAATGCACCCAAAAATCTGGTGGGCTGAGCCGCCTGCTGGCTTTTTCTATCTCCCGGGAACACTAGCAGATATCTGCCAACCTCGAAATTCTCCTATTCCTCTTATTACGTTATCCACAGAATAAAGCAAAAAAACAACAAAACACAAATATGGGAGTGGGTGTCGCTCATAATTGTTAGAGGAGGTGTGCAGACCCATGGCCACAACCTAGCAAGCCATTTATTTATTTATTATTCTCCGCTACCAAAAATGTAAAGGTTCTGGGTGGAATGCCCTTTTAAAGTACATCCGTCACGGTGTCCAAGCACCTACACGGTCTCAGAAGATCCAAGGCACTCTGCTAGAATGCATCTTTGAATAGCTTTTGGGCACTCTAATATGCAATGTTGTAATATGAATGGCAACATATGTATGCATGTAATATGTGGCCAGGCCTGTAGTGTCACAAGCCTGTCCACATCCTCCCGCACTGTTTCACAAGCCTGCCCACCTCCTCTTGCACCTAGAGGCCAGTAAGCCACAGTGATGGGCTAACAGGAAGATGCAGAAGGAAGGATGGATTGAAGATTGATTTATAATGCCGGTTCAGGTGCCAGTACACCCTGACGGGTGCACTTTAATGCATAGTCTTGTGAACGCAAACCTTTTGGCATGTGGTCATGTGGAAAACTGCCCAAATTTAAGACCATGTCATCATATTACTGGCATATACAGATGGTTTCTACGTCACCTTAAAAGCTAGGTCCGGAATACGCTTGTAGAAGTCATCCACGGGGAGGTGGCTGTTCAGTGGAAAAGCCCATTGTTCCTGAGTGGATTCTGGCACAGGCGAGGCTGAGGGAGGAGGCGCAGGAGCAGAGGATACCGTCTGAAGAACAAGGGACGAAAACTCATTAATATTACCTATATAGTGCTACACAACACTGAATTTTCTTATCAATCATTGACACAATTCTGCTGTTGGCAACCTAATGACAGCTGAAGCTGATTAACCTACAAGTACATCCAGACTGCACGCTTATCAGTAACTGTGAATTCCAAAACTCCCAAAAGTACCTCCAAGAGTACTCATCGCTGTGTACTCATCTTTTGTAAGGTTCCTGCAAGTAACCCGTGCAATAGCTAATCACGTACTTTAGTGCAGTGGTGGTCAAGTTTCTTGATATACGGAGCTTCAAGTGAGGCCCCTGACATCACCAAAGGGCCACACATAATATTCAGTGAATGTAATGCTACAGAGAAGCTGTTAGAGAATGCAGACACACTACAGCCGATGGTCAGAGACTGTAGACATATTAAAAAGGGATGGTCAGAGACTACAGACATGCAACAGGGGATGGTCAGAGACTACAGACATGCAACAGGGGATGGTCAGAGACTACAGACATGCAACAGGGGATGGTCAGAGGCTGCAAGGATGCTTTAAGAGTTGTTGGAGAGAGTGTAGACATGCTTTAGGAGACTCACTGCATTAGACTGCTAGAGATCACTGCTATTACAGCCCCTCTTCCCTCCCTGTCTGCTAGAGATCACTGCTATTACAGCCCCTCCTCCCTCCCTGTCTGCTAGAGATCACTGCTATTACAGCCCCTTCTCCAACCCCATCCACTGTGAGCTGTAGTGGACGGGCATTAATCAACATAAGCTGCCTATATTGTCCTATGTATAATCCTCCTCCAAAGCCACAACTAGACAGGGAAGAAATATTTTTTTAGGTATGCAGTGTGAATGGGAACACATAACAAACGTATAGTGTAGGTTTCCCAAATTTGACTGCAAAAGTAGAAATACCCTTTAAAGAAGAACTCTGGTTAAAAATGTTATTAACCATTGCAGTGGGGCTGCCTCCATACTGCAAGGGTTAAGTGCTCCTTTTTGTCTAGGTGCTAAAAAAAAAAAAGTTATACTCACCAGACCATCCCAGCCGGCTCCCTGCTTCTGTGATTACTGAAGCGTGTCCCCTCCTCCTCTGCACAGATGTACCGCTCCTCCATCCTCATGTCTACACATAGTCTATGCACAGTGTATAGAGCGTGATGACACCAGGATGCTTAGACCGCTGCAGCAGAGAGGGTGAGACGCTTGAGACAACGTTCTTAGAAGAAGCCGGCTCTGGATGGTCTGGTGGATATCTTTTTTTCGCACCTAGGCACAAAACGAGCACTGAACCCTTACAGTGCGGGGGTAGCCCCACTGCAAGGGTTAATAACATTTTCCTGGAGTTCTTCTTTAAGTAACCTGCAGTCAGTGAGGAGGAATGCGATTGGTTGTCTTATAATACTGCCCTGGGTCCATCATCCCTACCTGTTGAGCTGCATATTAAATAATGCAGAAGGTGTGTTTTCCATTAATAAGCCCTGTGATTTGCCAGTCATCCCATTATACCCATCTGACCTCCACGCCCAGCTCCTCCAGGCTATTCCTCCTGGGAAGTCCCTCCGTCTTGTCTGCCTTGGGTTTCTGCTTTATTTTGGCTTCATCTTCATCCTCACTGGAGTCTGCCAGCGTGAAATCTTCCAGAGTCCCGAGTAGGTTGACCAGGGAGAGAACCCCCGAGGGCCTCAATCCATCTGTTGGGGTTGAAGGTAGGTGGGTGAGAGTTATTACATCACTCACTGGTATTCCTTACAAAGCACATCCTTGTAGTGTAACTCACAGTAACCAATCAGATATTCAGATCTAATTTACTAGCATGCAATGGAAATTGGATTTCCTGATGGCTAATGCCTCTATTTGCCTTTACAACTATATAGATGAGGTCCACTACATTTTAATGCCCAACTCTAGGCAGTTAACAACACAGATGAGATTCATATAAGGGAGATTTTTTTACCTGTCAAAGGATTTGTATTTCCGTTCATCAAGTTCTGAGATTTACTAAGCTCTGCCACACAGTACCACCTGGTCTGGCAAGGGAGCAGACCTGATTTTTGTCTGCTGCAGTTCAGTAACACTTACAGGTCTTGCCCCTCCTCCAGACTCTGACGGGACAGTAAAAAGAGAAGCAGCAGACTGAAGAATGTATCTCTATAACACAGGCTGATATCAGATCAAATTCAGGTACCATCACCACTTCAATAATAAATCATTGGAAATACTTTTAAATGCAACAAGTGTACTTACCTGAATTTGAGTTGGTATCAGACCCTTGTGATCGCCTTTACAGCCCTACTCAGACTGGGAGAAGGAGAAGTAGCACAGATTAGGTGTGCTGCATGCAAATTTGCTGACAGGGAACATGATAATAATAGGCGAGAAGAGTGAGAGTAAACAGGTGACCTCATCAGTCTACTGCTGCTCTTTTACTGTCCCATAGGCGTGTATGGGATAGAGGGATGATACCACTGTACCTGTACATAAACTGGAATTCTAATTCAAATGAACAGAAAGAGGGGTGTCATATCCTGCTCTGTGGCAGAGCTGTGTAAATGTCAGGATAAAACAGGCAGAAATACATATCTACTGGCAGGTGAAACAGCTCTCACATAAGTATTTCATCCTTGCATTTAGATGTGTACCACTTTAAAAAGCCTAGAGTTACCCTTTAACTTGACTGCTTTATTAAACCTCTATAAACAAACCTGTGATTCATAACCCATTAATTACCCGATTGCTTGAAATTTATTCCGTTTTTCCACCCAGGAGGAGTAGATAAGAGATCTGTTTCAAGAAAAGAGAAAAGTTCAGTTTATTTTCTCCGCTATACTCCTACACATGAACAGGACTCCTGGTTCCACCTGTTAAACTGTAGAGACTCAGCACCCCGTGATTTGTTATGATAAAACTTGGACTATATTGGTTGAACTGCGTAGGTTTAGCAAATGCTGAAATATTTCCCATAATCTACTGTGCTGATTTGCTTCGTTCTATGAAATTCAAGCCTGTTTTGCAGTCTCGACCTGCACATGCCGATGCCAAGTACATAAATAAAGAATATCTACTATGCTATGGCTTTTAGATTAGCGGAAAAACCATACGGTCTATAACAGCCATTTATTAAAAGAGAACTATGGGGTGTTTTTCCCCATAGTTCTCTTTAGGGTCACGGGAGGACATATACTAACCTCCTCCTGTGACCCAAAGCTCAGTATATCGAGAGCTATTGCCCTCGATATACTGAGAGCGCCGCAGCCGAGACGGATCCCGGCTATACTGTCGAGATCCACCCAGCTGCATGAGTGACAGCTGGCTCTGGCTATCTGTGCCAGCTGTGCCCGCCCCCTCCCTCGTTCGTTCCTCCACTCAGTGCTGGAGGATCAGAGAGGGGAAGGGGAATCCCTGTGGGGAGGAATAACTGACACTCACCACTCACTGCAGGGCGATGATCGGGAAGTGAGCGGATCGGCAGCATGTTTCTGCTTACTTCCCGATCGATAGAGCTGAGCTGTGACAGCTTATTTGTCACAGGTCGGCTCTAACTGTGGGGATGAGTGGAAATCACTCAGCTCATAGATCTCCTTTAACTTTTTTACCATGTAGGATCTCTTAAAATTATTCAATGTGATGCCCAGGGAAGATCATTTTTGAGACCCCCCCCTCTATTCAACAACCTTTCAGTAAAAATGACGGAATGCATCCAACAAAAATAATGGTCATTAAAAAAATGCAGATAGTAAAAATGGTAGTGTGCCTTTACACCGATGGTTAATTAAGAAATGCCCTTTTTCAGTTTTGATTGTGTAGCGGGTATGACGGCAGGTAGTATGTGTAGGAGAGGGTGCAGAGGGTATAAAAGAGGGCAGTAGGTGTGGGAGAGGAATGCAGAGGGTAAGATAATGGGTAGCTTGCACAGATGAGGAGTGCAGAGGGTTTAAGTTCAGGCAATATGTGCAGAGAAGGAATGCGAAAGGTTTAACAGCAAGTACTATGTGCAGAGGACAAGCGTAGAGGGTTTAACAGCAAACAATATGTGCAGGTGAGGCGTATGGAGAGTATGATAAAGGGCAGTATTTGCAGGGGAGAAGTTGGAGGATATAACAGTGGGTAGTGTGTGGCGGCAAAGAGTGCAAAATGGTATGAAAGCAGGCAGTGTGTGCAGGGGAGGAGTGCAAAGTGTATTAAAGTGAGCAGTATGTGCAAAGCAGGAGTGCAAAGGGTATGACAGTGGGCAGTATGTGCAAAGCAGGAGTGAAAGGGGTATGACAGTGGACAGTATGAGCAAAGGAGGAGAGAAAAGGATATGACAGTGGGCAGTATGTGCTGAGGAGTGCAAAGGGTATGACATAGGGCAGTATGTGCAGAGGAGGAGTGCAAAGGGTATGACATTGGGCAGTATGTGCAAAGGAGGAGTGCAAAGAGTTTGACATTGGGCAGTATATGCAGAGGAGGAGTGCAAAGGGTATGACATTGGGCAGTATGTGTAGAGGAATAATGAAAAGGGTATGACATTGGGCAGTATGTGTAGAGGAATAATGAAAAGGTTATGACATTGGGCAGTATGTGCAGAGGAATAATGCAAAGGGCATGACATTGGGCAGTATGTGCAGAGGAGTGCAAAGGGTATGACATTGGGCAGTATGTGCAGAGGAGTAGTGCAAAGGGTATGACATTCGGCAGTTTGTGCAGAGGAGTAGTTCAAAGGTTATGACATTGGGCAGTATGTGCAGAGGAATAATGCAAAGGGCATGACATTGGGCAGTATGTGCAGAGGAGGAGTTGGAGGGTATCACAGAAGGCAGTATGTGTAGAAGGTATGACCGTAGGCAAAATGTGAAGGGGTGGGAGTACAGAGGGCATGAAAGCGGGCAGCATATCAGTAATATCGCTTACCACTGATCACCATTCCAATTAACACTGGATCAGACTACATGATGGCTGACATTTTCTGTGTAGGCTCCATAAAAAAGTATTTTATATAGGGTACCTTTCTCAAAATCCAGGGCTTCATCCTCTTCACTCATAGCCTTAATTTGTTCAAGTGTTGGTTCATCCATTCCACCTATGAAGAAATAAATGGCCTATATTAAATGGGTTTAGATAAGGATCACAGTCAAATATAAGAATAAGAATGAGTGGACTATTCATGTGAACGGTTAGGTGTTTGTTTCTCAAACATCCCCTGTAATTAACTATAATCATCTTAAACAAAGGTGTGTCTGTTGTTCCATTGCAATCAGTCTGATTCTTATTTTAAATCCCGATCTGAAGCAGAAACATTTATGGGAGATAATGGTTGGTTAATATGAAGAACAATGGCATTAATCTTGGGGCATTGTCAACTTACCTGGCCAGAAAGGGAAGTTGGAAGTATTGCCCTTGACGGACTGAGACGGGGGACCAGGAGGTCGTCGCAGGGACATAGAGTTCTGTGCTGAGAGACCGATGTGGGCTGCAGAGACCTGAGAAGTTACAAACGATCAGAAGGTGTACCATATTTAACTAATAAACCAACATATCGGATTGATTGAACACTGTATTGAGTAAATTCCAATTTTAGGTGTGCAAATACCGAAAAGGGAGGGGGCTTTGAAGAAATACTATAGCTCTCTTAATACATAAACATTAGAAATTCATTTATTAGTTTCACATTTTTTAAAGCATGATTAAAAGGCAATTAAAACATGATTGATCTATTTCACATGTGATAATAATGTCGCATCAATTTGACAGTACAATTGTTTTAATAAAACATGATAGATGGCTCATTCTGTTAACTCCGTGAAAATATGTGACACTAATTAATGAATTTCTAATTTTTATATATTAGGAGAGCTATAGTATTTCTTCAAAGCCCACTCCCTTTTCGGTATTTGCACACCTAAAAGTGGAATTTACTCAATACAGTTTTCAAGGAATTACAAACCGGGGTGTGAAATCTTACTCTCTTTAAGCTGTTTCATGTTTAGTACACACCCACCAATGTCAATTCGTAACATATCTGATTTCATTCAACACCTCAAGCCACAGGAAATGACTTTATTAGCAGCGTGCATGCTCATTTACAGGCATTTTTTAATTATTACACATTAAAGAGACCCTGTCACCATTCATTTCAATACAAATCTTCCCCTGAGATGAGTTGTGTGTTTAACATATATTATTTACCTGTAAAAGCCTCCCTTGTGCAAGGCCCTAACTGCTGTTCTAATCCTCTATCCAAAACTAAAAAACTATGTTTTGGCCTCAGATGCACTTTAATTGAAGGGGCACTGCCAACCTCTCCTTCTAAAAATGCTAACTGCCTGGCTGATATACTGACTCGCTGGATTCAAAGATTTTTAAGGCAATGGCTTGAAACAAGTATGCAAACCAGGAGTTCTGATTTTGCTTACTGCATACTTTTACCAGTAAAGCATTGACGCCAAAGAAAGGCAGATGGGGTAGTATTCTCAGAGGGAGGTCAACAATGGCATCCATCATATTTCTGTTATCACATGTGTCCTTTAACATCTTTGTTTTAGGCAAAAAAAAAACCTTCATGAAAATGCAATCCAGTGCGGCTATGTGCTTGAAGATCAAGAACCATCCCAGTGAATACTCAATATCACTGAGAAAAGTCTATATACAATGGCTATGGCTCTGAAACCCCATGGCACGTACAAAATGATTGGTTAAGGATTGCAGGTACTTGCAAGCACCTTGTGGTGCCTATTTTTAAGGAAAATACAGCAGTATACAAAATGCGGCCTTTTGCTAGCATATACCTGGCCCTTGGGATGCCATTCCTCCCAATGACACCATCTGATGGGGCACTATTCCTCCCACTGGCACCAGTGATCGGGCACTATTGCTCCAACTAACAGTAGTGATGGGGAACTCAATATTCTTCCCACTAACACCAGTGATGGGGCACAATTCTTCCCACTAACACCAATGATGGGGCACTATTCCTCCCACTAACACCAATGATGGGGCACTATTCCTCCCACTAACACCAATGATGGGGCACTATTCCTCCTACTGACACCAATTGTGGGTAACTTTTCCTTCCATGGAAACCAATGACGTGGCTCAATTTTTCCTACTGACACCAACAATTGGGCACTATTTCTCCCACTGATACTAATGATGGGGACATTACTCTTCCCCACTCCACTCCACTAACCACAGGTCCTAGAGCTCTACTCCTACTGGTCACAGTCTGGCCCCCCTATAGCGTTAAGGACAGTGAACTGGCCCCAGAAAGTTTGAAAACCCCTGGTATAATCAGGGCCGGATTTTCCACAAGGACAACCGAGGCCCGGCCTCGGGGCAGCAGGGAGTAGAGGGGCAGCAGGGGTGTGGAATTCCTATCTCCCTACGCCCAGGACATGCAGTTGCGGGCGCCGGGCGGGTAGTTGTTTTCTACATTTAGCCGTCACTTGGGCAAGCAGGGCTAAATGTACAGTGGCAAAGCCGCCTCTTGTTTTGTACAAGTGATCTCGGCAATGTCGCAGAGATCAATTGTAGGCAGCCTGCATACAGGGGGACGCATTGAGGAACCTGGCATTGGGGCAGCAGAGAGAGTAAATCCGGCCCTAGGTATAATAATACCCTAAAAACTTTTTCTACATGTGTGGTTCAACTCCCTGCTCTCCGTATCTCACCTCACTGATTCTGCGCAGTTCTCCCGTAGCAGAGTTACGTTCCATGCTGATATCAGTCTGGGGAGCACTGATGTCCATGTGGAACAAGGAGCTCACATCCTTGGTACGTGGCCAGGACCTGTAATGACAGTAGAGCATGTGTAAACCTTTGATTGCTCCCCAGGACTGACTGGGCCCCACTCACATGGAGATTTTCAAAATGCTGGCAAATCTCTATGAGCACTGATAGCTCAATCATCATCGAAAATAACAATTAAAACAAAACTCCAGCCAAAAAAAATAAATAAATCACAGCTTGTACATCACAGCTGAAGTGTGGAAGGAAGAGGCTTTAAAGGAGCCAATCAGTTTATGTGCTGACAAGCAGCAAGCTGATAGAAAGTGAAAGCAGAGTGACAAGCTCATCTCATGATGCTCTGCTTCTTCTTTCACTGTCCAGTCATAGACTGGGGCAGGTCCAGGGCGACCTGGGCTCAGAAGAAATAGGTTAAATGATGCTGGCCATCAGGGTGACTATATCTAGTGGCAAAATAGTACTGCAGGAAAAATCTCTGGATTAAAGCTGAATATTGCAGCAAAAGATGTTATTTTATCTTTTAATGGGTTGTTCATTTTTTTTCTTGTTATTTTAGGTTGGAGTTTTTTCACAGTTAGGAAAACTAATTTCCCGGGCCAAAAGGGGAGCCCATCATCACACACGGTAAGGTCTGTACCTCTGGCTCCGGTCAAAGTCATGGACAGAAAGCCATTCGGGGTCTCTTAGGTATTTCTGGATCACTTCGTCAGACAAATCAACATCATATGGAGGTAAGCCGTTGGGGATCTGGAACAGTAAGACAGGAAATGATCAGGAATAGGTCAGTGAGGGATAAAAAACCTGATAGAGAACTGGACCTACCGTAGATAAAGGGAAAGAAGGACCATTCGATGCCGGAGGTTTTGTGATCAGTTCCAATCGCCCCGCTATGCCAACTTCTAGGATGGAAAACGGGAGATCCAGTGGATCTCTAGGTGGGAGCTCTGTTAGTTGGGGGAAAAAAGCAACAGACACAATGAACACATGCTCCATATAGTGTCTTGTATTGCATATGTATATGTTCCATATAGTGTCTTGTATTGCATATGTTCCATATAGTGTCTTGTATTGCATATATATATGTTCCATATAGTGTCTTGTATTGTATATGTTCCATATAATGTCTTGTATTGCATATGTATATGTTCCATATAGTGTCTTGTATTGCATATGTTCCATATAGTGTCTTGTATTGCATATGTATATGTTCCATATAGTGTCTTGTATTGCATATGTTCCATATAGTGTCTTGTATTGTATATGTTCCATATAATGTCTTGTATTGTATATGTATAGGTTCCATATAGTGTCTTGTATTTTATATATTCCATAGTGTCTTGTATTGTATATGTTCCATATAGTGTCTTGTATTGCATATGTTCCATATAGTATCTTGTATTGCATATGTTCTATAGTGTCTTGTATTGTATATATTCCATAGTGTCTTGTATTGTATATGTTCCAGATAGTGACTTGTATTGTATATGTTCCATATAGTGTCTTGTATTGTATATGTTCCATATAGTGTCTTGTATTGTATATATTCCATAGTGTCTTGTATTGTATATGTTCCATATAGTGTCTTGTATTGCATATGTATATGTTTCATATAGTGTCTTGTATTGTATATGTTCCAAATAGTGTCTTGTATTGCATATGTATATGTTCCATATAGTGTCTTGTAGTACTGGAAACCTCTACTAAATGAATATGGAGGCTGCCAGTGCTGACCTCTGGAATGCCTTTTTCTTTTATTATGAATTTACATTTTATGATGTATGCAGACGTGCCAAGAAGCCATCCATAGAGATAGCAGTATTGCAGTGGAAGTCCGGAAACTTAAAATGGGTACCCAACGGCACAGCAGAAGCAGCTCCATATTTATATAGACTGGAGATTATGGGAAAAGGATGCAGTGCTATCAGCTATGATTGCCCAGACTCCTTCAGGTCATCCTCCTTTAGGACGGTCATGGATGCAGCTCTTTCCTCGCCTAGGATATCTTCTGAATAATTGTTTACGTTGAGAGGCCAATGAGATCAGGTAAATGTCATGAGAAAATGAAGCTGCTGACACTGCTGACTTTTCCCAAAAATGCTAAATGGCTGGCTGTCATTCATACACTTTGGCTTCACTACACTGCGCCACCAACTCAGAATAAGTATCGGGATCAGGAGTTTTCACTTCTCTCCAACCTTACAACAAAGTGCACTTATCCCTTTTGTCCCTCTACCCTAACCTGACCTAACCCCTGGTTGCGCTTGCATTACAGTCCCATAGACTTTTATGGGGCCATCTCCAGCCTCGGGCTGGGATGTAAGCGGTGCAGGAGCCTGTTAACTGCACCCCTGATGCACTGATTGCAGTTGCAATGCTCTGCATGCCAGAATGCCAAAAAAATAACAAATAAATATTTTTTTTTTCTTTTATAGTTGTAGGTGCATTTATTATTTCTTTTTAAAAAGTGGACTATACCTTTAAGAAAACCCTCAGGTCTCATTCACACTGGCATTGACAAATTTGCAGTTTATAGGCCACTTGTAAATGCGTATAATTACATTTAATGATCTAATCCCCACTTTGCATTTGGATGTGTTTAGGTGCGTGTAGAGAAAATAGAACTTTGTGCATCTGGGGTCTTATTACATACTCTGAATGTGTCTAAACGCATGTAAACCCAGGTACATTTAAATGCAGGGGAACTTAATCTGGGAAGAATACAGTTTGTTTATGGCTCGTTCACATGGACGCACGGGGGAGTACAGCATGCACGTCTGTGCACAATCCTGCATCCAGGAGTCACAGGCAATGCATGCAATCGCCTGCACAAATCAATGACAGGATGCGGCTGTAATGCGTTAAAAGCAGATCCGAGTGTGTACATCTGAACAGGTTTAAATGTAGACCCCTGGACAGAAATAGTCTGCATCCAAGGGAGTAAATGTGAACCTGCATGGATGTACAGACTGGGATCTGCTTTACCAGATACAGCCGAATCCTGCCATTGATTTGTACAGGTGGCTGCACACAACACCTGGTTTGTTGTTATATACATGTATAGTATGTTTATATAATATGTTTACACATTTTATAAAACAGTCTCACCTAGTTTACTCATTGTGGAGGGTGGAATCTCATCCGAAAGGACAGATATGATTCATTAGCAGGGGCTGCAATGATAACCGAAACAACAAATAAATAACAAATAAAAAACTTTCAATGCAGATCTTGCAACAATGTGATCTTTTAGAGAACTGAGATGACTGTAATAATAACACATATAATACAAATTGTAATAATAATTCGGAATGATTGACCACCATACTGGCTCAGTGAGCAAAATCTGCAATATGAAGTTTGCATAGAAAATATATGTAAAGTCTACAGAGGTTGTAAGTAATTGTCTGATAAGCTGCCATTTGAATATATCCTGACACATATAAAGCACCATTTATACAATAAGAATTATATTCATCATCTGTCTGATACCTTTCTGGAAAAGAAGAGCCAGCACTGTGCCTGTGTGTCAGTGCAGAGGGGACACAGTCATGGATGACAGGCAAGGGCCGTGACGTCACTGTGTGGCGGAAGCAATACTTTTAGGATTGTGTCTCCAAGTAGATCTAATGTTAATCCCTTTAGGGGAGACATATTTGAAAGGCCTATTTCATAGAGTAAACATAGCTTTGTCTTCAACAAAATGGCCGGCGCCGTTGCAACGAATGATCTTGTCAAGCCTCCCTAGTGCTAGGGAAGAGCTGTGCTGCTTATTGGCTGATTGGTGATGGAAGCGCTGATTGGCTGTGTGGCGTTACGTAAATGGTTGGCGGAAGTGACATACGCACACGCGTGATGTGGAACAAAGAACGACGTATTGGCTGGCAATGTTCTCTTCTCTTGATCTTGAAGAAGATAGTTTTTAGATGGATTCCAAATGCAGAGAATGCACTGCCCACATAAATTACATATTTATCTCTTTTTTTTTTTAACTTGTGAAATAAAAGAGCTATTTAGTTTATATTGAATTTATAAGCAGGAGAAATTAGCCAACTTTGGTGGGAAAAGTAATGTTTTGACATTTCTATTTGGGAAGTTTCTGGAAAACACCTAGATTGCGCACGTAACGTTCTGTGTAACCTTGTGTAGAACAGTCACCATGTAAAGCGAAGGCCTTGCTAAGTGTGTATATGGCACGGTTCACTCCTGAGCGATCTGCACAAATGCAAACCATGCTTGCGGGGCCATCCATTTCTAATGGCATCCCAATAGCGGCCAGCAATCTGCACGGTTTTAGGCCGCATTTGCACGGGTGCAATCGCGCACAAACGCGGTCACAAAAAACCGGGTCGCTTGTTGCACAAAAAGGTGTATGAGCCTTTTTGCTGCGGTTACCGCATGGATATGGCGCCATTGAAATCAACGGGGCTGTGCGGTTCCAGGACACTCGGTCCTGGGCTGCCCAGATGTGAACCACAGTGTGTTCCAAAGCGGCTAGCGGACGTAATGCACTGTATCGCATAGAGCAAGGTTCCCTGCATTCTGGGGCGGGAGGGGGCGGGGCGGTGCCATTAATGTCAATGACACCGCAGCCACTCCTCCCACCCGCAGTGCGATTGCCAGAACCAGAATGGGTGGTATAGCAATGCCCTGCCTTCCGGTGCGATGTGAAAAATAGTGCATGCTGCATTCATGGCGGGCCACACCCCCCTTGTGACCCCATTGAGGCTACCCCCGCACTGTAAGAGTTCTTCTGTAACATAAATATTTCCCTAGACACATATCGGGGCGGCCATTTCTGAACTACTGAATATGAATGTTGCTTTGCTGTTATGTCTTGAATACTTTTTGAGTTACTAGCCTGGAAGAAGTACGCAGGTCAGGAAAGTCAGAACTCTGAAATTGGCTCAAAGTCCTGAAGCCACAGTACCAGAGTGACAGACAGGCAACCTGCATCTGCAGAATGAAAAGTCATCAATGGCAGCCTCTGTGTGTCTTTAAAGTAAGGTTTTCTGTACAAGTTATTATGAACAAGGATTAGGAGGGGGACCTTGGATACAGTCACATGCAGCAAGCGGCTGTTGTATTCCCCAGTGGGGGGGGGGGGGGGGGGCGGAGGGAATGTAA